CTTCTGCCTTCTGGCAGATCAAGCACATAGAAGAGGAAACTGGATATTAAGTGGGCCACTACACCACCTAAGTGCTCCAAGAGTACCAAAAAACAAAAATAACCTGTTGTGGTTTAACCCATCAGGCAGCTGAACACCACACAAATGTTTGCTTCTTCCCCCCGGGTGGGATGAAGGAGGGAACAGCAAAGATGGGACTTGTGGGTTGAGATCAAAACTATTCCCTGAGACAGAAGAGGAAAATGGAAACAAAAGTGCAGTGATAACTGTATGTACAGGCGCAGTGTGATTCTCTCCTCTTGCTGACCAATGTACAGCAAGAATACAACTTGCTGCCGACTGACAGCCAGGAGCAACACAAGGTCTCACTCCAAAATGCACAGTGTCAGTGTCTGCCTTACAAGACAAAGACTTTGCCATGACCGGGTGTATTAAGATCCATGAAAAATTCAGCATTCAATGATTTACAAAACATGCATACTTGTAACATGCTATGCTGGTAGGGCTCAAGATAAGAAAAAGACCTTGTTGTTATCTTTCAGGTGATTGCAGAAATGCCATTTGACCAGTCAGCACAAAAAATTTGATTAAATATTTGTGTTTGAACTCACAGGACCAGAAACACAACTCAGTTGATTCAGCCAGTTGACCAAGCCAGTGACGTGAGTTCTGCTCTTCAGTCAATTGGAATGTGTAGCACATTCCACCTGGCTTGATCTTGGAAAGTGCAAGGAAGTTAATGTAGTATCAGCCTTGGTGTGGCTTGTGCAGTGACTCTAGCAGTAAGCCACTGTGTTGTTGTTCCTGTTGATGATCATCCTTGAATAGAGATTAGCTTCAAAGTATAGTCAACATGAAATGAGAAGAGGCCCTTCCCCAAGCCAGGCAGCAAGTCAGGAACTGGGACACTAAGTTGACAAGTGTGCGTGCTTTGCCAACTGTGCATACGTTCAAGAGAAATGATGATGTGCAAGTTCACCAAGTGACAATATAAAACCTCAGAAAGGCCCTGTGCAGCTGATTGGAACCAGGTGCACGACACAAATTCTGTCACACAGGAAGTTCGTCAGTTCTACTCATTTGTGCCACTGAATGTCTCCCCTGCTACAACTACAGATGTCCTGCTCAGACTGTACCTCCTCCATTAAATCTGTTCCAAATTTTCTGTAAGTGATTGTGTTCAGGCCTTGAAGTTCAGGCCTGCTGGAAGAGGCTCAGAAGCAACTCTCTCTTTTTGTCTTTCAGAATTTGCAGGAAATCAGTGAGCTTAAATTACAGTCCCAAAAGATTAGAGCTTGAGAAGCCTTCTGATGGAAACCACTTCGGCTTGGCTCAAAGCTGTGCATGCAGCCATTATTTTTTAATAGTTAATACAAGATGAATGCATGTGCTTAACTAACATGGGAGGTGGAGATATTGGTATCACGTCCAGGAAACAAAGCAACGGATACCAAATCTGGTGATAAGCATTTGCTGACAGTCAGTGATTTCTGTCTTAATACGCAGAGCCTTTATTAAGGCTGAAATAACCTGAGCTTTGAGATGACATCAGTAGGGAATTTAGGAAAGCTGTCTCAAGCACAGTTGTTTGATAGGCCCAACACTGAAAAAGGTGGAAGCCTCCACCCTCTAATGCAGGGTCTTTGTGTTTGTTAATCTCAGGTATCTGAGTATGCACTGTCATGGAGAAGTGAAGGCCAAACGGCAGTAGGGAACCGAGGTTCCTGCAGTGAACAAGTTACGTTTGAAGAAATCAGGTAAGTCCAGTGCAGACTTCATGCCTACGTTTTGACAACTTAATTTCAGTTAGTTGGATACCCATTCTCAATGTTTACTACGTAGGTTGCTGCTGTCTGTATTCCCTGCAGTGAGACAAATCCAGCTCCAGCTCCAGCTCAGTCCATTTCTTGGTGTATGGGACCTGCTGAATCACAGCCTGAACCTCTGATTGACCTCCTGAGGCGAGCACTGAGTCAGCCCTGGGAGCACAGGTGAAGGCAGTTCAGCTGTGTGACTGGAAGGGTTGGAGCCTGGCTGCACCTCACCTAGACCCCATTTAAGGCCGACAGCCCCTGGGGAGGGATCTCTTTCTGGAGATTGCTCCCTTTGGCGTTTCTTTTTCCTGAAAGCCAAGGACATGGCTGAGTTTCCTTTTTTTTTTTTATTATCTGTTTCCACCATGGTAATCCCTCTAGTTATACAACCTGTGAAGTACCGGCCTCTCCATGTTCTGCTATTTGTATGTTTGTTGATTGCACACTTTACACTTGGATGGGAATGGGGGCTTTACTACAAGGGTGTTGTTCCTCTCTTTTTCTGGAAGGAGTTAAACTGTGTTTCTTTGAGATCTCAGATCTCTCCTCTTCCTCGCCTTAGAAGGAAGTGTCTACAGCAGTGACTGTTAGTGCCTTTGCTTTCCTTAAGGCCTCTCTTGTTGTAGCAGAGCCTACAGTTTTGTTTTTTGCTGCTGCCTCTGCATTCATTATGCTCAAGTGCCCAACTTGGGAGTGTCTCAGTCATGCTGGAACACATCTGCCGTTTACTGATTAATGTCATATTAACTTAGAATGGTGGCTCAGGCAAGTGCTGCTGCCCTGCTAGGGGAAACAGCTCAAGTGGCTTTTTTATTTATTTCCTGGGGTGTTTCATAGACAAGAAACTCAGGGACCTCTTTAGTGGGCCTGAACCCTGCTGGTTCTGTCCTCTGTTACCACTTGGCCAACTGGCTGACGCTTCCACAGGTGCTTTCCAGCTCCCTAGCAACTCTTTATACTTCCAGATGTTCTTAAGTCCTTGGAATTAATAGCAACAGGGCAAAGAATGAATTAATCAAGGTTAAAGCCACTCTTTGTGTTGCTGAGTGACAAGACTTTGTGTCAAATCTGCCATGGGAAGTCAAGTAGCCCGGCCTCAGTTCTGCAAATAAGATACGATTTTCTGTGTACTGGCCCACCAGAAGTAAGAGCCTTGACAGCACTGAGCGTGAGCAGGCACACAGAAAGAGCAGTATGGCTGCATGGAGAGAGAGACTTATTGCCTGTTTTTGTTTTCAGCAGTGTTCTCCAGTTTAGCAGGTGACAAAACATCTGACCCTTAATCTCTCAGAAGTGCTAATTCCGCTTTGTGTTCCATCAGGTGATCTCAAAGGAAACAGAAGCAGCCATTGGTTGCACTTGCACTGCTGCTTGTACCACGGCACAGTGAGACGCCAGGTGAGACTGGTAGGGCACGGCTTTGGTGCTTCTCTGTATGATGGTGGACTCTTTGGGAGCTACAGCTTTTTCTTATTTACTTACTTATTTTTCTCCTCCCTTTTGCTGCTTAGCACAGGCTGCATTCTTGTCTGTTCAGCATGGAGGAAAATGTCTGGAACAGGAAGGTTGCCTCCCAAGCCACTTAGCCATGGCAAAGTTGAAGGAAGCACAATGAGCTTTCCATTTTTTCGTTTGTCTTTCTGAAAAGTCGACTTCTAACACTTGGTCCAGGTTACCAATATTAATAAGATAGATGACATTTTTCATGTATTTTCTGAGATATATTTTTGCCTTGAACTTTTGTTGCACCAAACAAATAACTCATGGTGTTTCAAGTCTATTAACACAGCGAAAGAAATGAACGTTTGGCTGCTTGCCTACCCATTCATTAATGCTCCTGTGGTGACATTTCATGTGCTGTATTATTCCACATAGCTCAGACTCAGCTCTGTCACTGTAATTACAGTAAGCTACACTGCAGAGAATGTGATCAATCTGGGAAATGCCAGTCCTACATTTCTTTGTTAGCTCATAGAAAGCCTTTACCTGAAGCTCGTCAAGTTTCCTCAGTGATTCTTACATACTTCAAAAAAGTAATGGGAAGATTCAAGCTGCATTCATGGAGATTCCAGCATTATTTCACGCTCTTTTCTCTCAATGAGCAGTGCTTAATTGCTCTTTTAATTCTGACAGGCCCAGTAAGTGCAGTCCAGCCAGTTCCCACATGCTTAGTGGGACCGGAGGTTTTCTAGATGGTGTCTTAAAGCCAGAATGCATTTCTTCTAAATGAGTGAAAAGAAATAGTCAAGGTATGTACCTATTTTGGACAGCGTGTGGGAGTCTAAGCTTTGTGGAGGATTGTTTTCTGCTGGAGCATGTCCTTCCAGGATCACATAGAAAAGCATAAATCTTGTGTCTGTAAAGAATTTAGGAAGTTATCTGATTGTCTCAGTCACATCAGGGTGGGCAATGACTGTTGTTCAAGAAGAGTTCTGAGGTTGGAGATGGCAACTGTCTTCACTTGTCTGACGTGGAATAAATGAGATCTCATAAGGTCGGGGTGCGTTTATCAGCATGGTGATTATGGGAGAAATGTCAACATCCTTGCGATCTACAACGGGCTTCAGAGTAAAGTTCTGCAGGATGGATGTTAAAAATAAGAATATCTCCATGCGGGCCAGACCTTCTCCTGCACAGATGCGTTTTCCTGCAAGGAAAGAATGAGGAGAACAGGAGATGATGGTAGAGTACTTTTGCTGGTAACTTATTTTAACCCCTCTGCCGTGAGAGTTCCGACGTCTCAGAGTGGGCATGCAGCACTGCATCCTTCTGGGGAAGTGAATTGAATTAAACTGAGGTCTCAGTGTTCAGAACAGTGTGAGAGTACTGGGTGGGCCAATGCAATTTGAAGGTTTCAGTTTCTCGTGTTGTGTTGCTGCTTTATGGCTAGCTAGGAGAGAGAAGTGGCATGGCTACAAATCCCACTTCATGCATCTTTTCTTGGAGGATGCATCAGAGGAGCTCTGGTACTTGTTAAGAAAGGGAGGTAAACTGAAACTGTAGTATATGGGGTAGAGCTTAGCTGCCCAGAAGTGAGCAGCAGATCTGCAGACATCACTGTTCAGACAGGGATGACAGAGCCACTGAAATGTCTGAAGAGGTTCTGGGAGAGGATAGTCTAGGTCCTGACGTAGAAAGAGCTCTTTACCTGTGGAAAATGGGAAAAAGTAGTCACTCTTTCTGAAGGTACCATTTGCATTCAGGAAATGTTCCGGGTCAAATTTTTCTGGATTAGGAAATTCCTTGGAGTCGTGCAGGATGGGAGACAGCAAAGGGAATATCATGGTGTCCTGAATAAGCATAGAGAGGAGAAAGTTAAGTGGAGACATGCCAAAGTGAAGCCCCATCGATCAGTCCCCAGGGCTGAATACATGAAAAGCCCTGCTTTGGTGACTGCTGTGTGATCCCAGTAAGCTTCACTGTCTGCCAGAATTAAGTGTTGAAATCCCATGAGAAAAGCTGGTGCAAATGCAAAAAGTGCCAGCGGTGGAGTCCTGGGGACATGCAGGAAGCTTTTTTTTCCACAGCAGCCATTCATATCTGGGAGCCAGCTAGCTATCTTTCCTCATAGTTGCAGTTCATAGAGTAACAACAGTATAACTGTTTGTATTGGAAATAAACAGTTTGAACTCTTGCTGTTGTCCTTACACCTAGAATAATTCTTGCTGACCCCTCAAACAGATGTGCACAGTGAAGGTAGCTATGAATATGAAAAGGGAATCTTTGCAATTTTCTTAGGTATTTCTCCTTCACTTCTGGAATGGTTTAATGACATTGTTCTGAGGCCAAGCATGCAGATTTTTGGGAAATTAACTCCATTTGTCACAATGTGTTGTAGGCACTCCATATTGTCCATAGCATTTGCATGAGGATATCTCTAGTTATTGAAAAAGGATAGAGCTCTGTAATTACTGTGATCTCCTTCAGTGTGTGATGTTTCAAGAAACTTTCTAAAGATGTGAAGATCCATGAAAGTTAATGGCATTCTAATCAGGGAATGACAGAATTGTTTCATTAATAATTACTAGTTAATATAACTGAAAAACTTACATGAAATGCTACACTTCCCACTCTTCTTCCTCAATTTTCTATCCAGATACAAACATTTACAACTTCAGAATATATTCATCCAAGAATAGCATGAGAAATGTGATGGATTTCACAGGAATGAGGATCATTTTTTTCACAGATTAACAATTCCATACGTACCACAAAAAACTTGAAAAAAGATCCAATTTCTGAGATTCAAATGTTAAGACACAACTGTGTGTCTGATGTGCTTCAATGAGGAAAGAGACATGCATCAGGATTGTGCTGCAGCAGCTCCTGCTCCGACTACTTTTGGGGCAGCCCCTATAGGGATACACAAAAGCAAGTGACTGTATTAAAGGCAAATCTGAATGTTTACCAGCACCTCTGGAAGGCATTCCTTTGCTTTCTGGCAGATCAATCTCAGGAAAGAGGAAACTATGCCAAACTTTTTTCCTTGTTATTTTTTCGTCAGCTGCAGGCTGGATATTAAGGGGTCTATATACTAAGTAGGAGGCCCAATAAAAAACAAAAAGCCAAGCATCATTTAACCCATCAGGTAGCTGAACACCACACAGATGTTTGCTCCCTCCCCCCAAGTGGGATGAGGAAGAGTACTGGAAACTGAACAGGACTTGTGGGTTGACATCAAAACTATTTACCAAGACAGAAGAGGAAAATGGAAACAGAAGTGCAGTAATAACTATATGTAGGCGCAATGCAATTATTTTTCACCTGCTGACTGATGTACAGTGATAATGCAACTGCCTGCCAACCCACAGCTGTCAGCAACACAAGATCTCATCCCCTTCTGAATTAAGGAAAATAAGTTTAGTTAGAAGTTATGTGCCTTCATGGGGTACTGTATCAGCAGCTACAGATCTGTCCTTTCTAAGGCAGATTTTAGCTGCCAATAATAAATGCTTTTCTGCAGACTTAGACAGTCAGTACAGACAGCGAGTTTCCTGTTTCTCCAAATAACATTGTTAGCTATCCTATATCTGCAGTGCAAGGCAATAGGGTAGGACAGTAAAGCCATACATTAACAAAGAAGCAGAGGATTTGTGGACAGAGTTGTAGCCAATAAGACAACCAGCTAGAGCTAAGTCAGCATCCTCCAACTTGACCCAGGTCAGAGAGTACATAGCAAGAGAGACATCTGTTCTTCATCAGAAAAGACCACCAGACAACCACTGAGAGATACCACTCATGTGCAAAAGAACTAAGACTTGAGGCAGGGAAAATGTCAATCATTCTGGGGAGTCACTGTAATAACCCAACCTTTTCTTAGACATCTAATGCATATGTAAGCAACTTGTTCTTTAAATATGTGCCTTTCTTGCCATCTGGTATACAGGCTTGGAAGGAATACCCCCCCTTCATCCAGCATAAGGATGCATCCAACATTGAGTAAACATACCTGCTTTATGATTATTCTGGTTATAGTGTTTGATTCCACACATCACCACCAACCAACAGTCAGCATTGCCTGAGCAATGGCTGCCCTCTAGACAACTTCCCACAGCTTTATGGCCATCTGTGTGGTATCAGAAAATGCTAAAACAGCAACTGGTATCATTTATTCAGGGAAAGGGTCACAGTTCTTTACAGATCATGAGCTGCAGAACACTGTTAGCCAGGATGTAGATACTAAGTTTATATGTATTCAAAAGTAATCGGGCAAAGCCATGTCAGAAAAATCCATTGAGGGTACTCAAAAATGCCCAGGAATTTCTGGATGCTGGAGAGCAATCAAGAAACAATTCCTCCATGGCTGCATTGCTGCTACTCTTGGGACCTCATTTTCAGCCAATGTTAGACAGGATCCTGATCCAACTTCACTGTTGTCATGATGTTGTGCACCCATCCTCAGGCTCCTATGTCCATACATCAAAATGTATTACCTAATTGAACGCTCTCATTTTGCAGATTAGCCTGTGGAAAGCATCGTGTTCATTCTGCTGTGAATTACATCTGCTGCTAAAATCTTATTTTCAGGTAGGATTCTTTTTAGCTCCTTGCAGAAAATCACACTTTCAATTTCTGGCTTACAAGACAAAGGCTTTGCCATCACCAGAGGTAATAAGATTCAATAGGTTCAGTATTCAACAATTTACAAAACGTGCCTACTTGTAACATGCTGTGCTGGTAGGACTCAAGATAAGTAACAAACCTTGTTATTATTTTTCAGGTGACTTCAGAAATGCCATTTGACCAGCTAGCACATGAGGTTTCTGAACTCACAGGACCCAAAACACAACTAAATTGATTCAGGACCAAGCCAGTGACATGACTTCTGCTCTTCAGTCATTTAGAACATATAACAGATTGCTACGTCCTCGCTTGGTCTCTGAAAGGGCAAGGAAGTTCACCTGTTGTGTGATCAGTACAGTGACCTCAGCAGTAAAACACACTGTTGTTCCTGTTGCTGATCATCTTTGAACAAAATTTAGCTCTAAATTACAGTCAGCATTAAGTGAGAAGAGGCCCTTCCCCAAGTCAGGCAGCAAGTCAGGAATTGGGACAGCAAGCTGTTAAGCGTGCATGGTTTGAAAACAGTGCATATCAATAAGAAAGATGTTGATGGACAAACTCAGCAATTGACAAAGTCTCAGAGAAGCTCAGCAATCATTAAATAGCAGAACCTTTTGTTATGCTATCAGATATCAGTTTACTACTACAATATAGAAAACAGATTAAATGTAATGCATTTAAAACATGAAGAAAAAAGGGAATAGTTATGAACACTAGGTACTATAATATGTGCCTTCACTACATTTTTAGTGCTGTCAGAGACAGAATCACAGACATTGCAGAGGGAGTTGGGAAGACAAAGGAAGAAATCAGGGAAACTATACAGCACTAAAAAATGATGCCATCAATTTGCATAGCCTGTATAGGATGGTTGTAGCAGGAAGGCTGTCCTTTACTGTGCTGACATCATCTTCCCATCAATTGTTAGAAAGCTGGGATATTACAGTTTCTTCAGCAAGTAGCCCAAAGTGTGATGCAGAATGCAGAAGAACACAGCACCAGTAATTCTCCTCATCCGCCTAAAATTCCATACAAGATCCCTCAGACAGATTCACATATTTTCTAGTTCTTTGGAAATCTTTAGTTTTTGATTGGAGGATACTGCAGAAACCACATGGATTTTCACTTCATTTTTTCAGGTGTTTGTATCCATCAGATGGGATTTATCCTAACCACGGCAAAATAGAGCAAATACAGTAAAAGTGCAAATCACATTTCCCAATTCTAAATTGTAGGCAAGAAAATGTAGAATAACTTGAGAAAGAAAGACTGTGGAAGGAACTGGAAGGAAATGAAGGAAGCGTGTCTAATATAGAATTCATCAAAGAAAATTGCAGAGAGCTCAGGGTGGTATAGGGGGATCCACTACAAGAAGGTAAGCAGTGAGTAAGCAGTGGGACCACTGGGTACAAAGACAAAGACACAGGTGTCAGGGAGCTCGATTAGTTCCCTTGGCTGATGACCCCAAGTCATTTCCTAAGGGGTTATGCCAACTGCATGGTGATAGAGGGAAATGGAGAACCTCGGAGCTTTCTGGCATGAGTTTTCTGCAAATCATGCCAGACTAGGACTGCTATGACTGTTATGAAGTGCTCTGACAGGAACTGGCCAGCTGTTACAGCCCCATAGCTCACGACTCACATCCCATGAGGAATAAGAACTTGCATGAACTCACTGCATTAGGAGGTGGACAAACAAGGATCTTCTGGTGGGACATTAGCAGCAGTGTCTTGGAAAGTAAGAAAAAATTTGAATTTATGAATGAACCAAAGCCAATGTTCACACAGTTAAAGCAAGCATGTTTCATGCTCAAGTGAGATGTTTTAAGCTTATGATTATATTTCAGTTTCATTTAATTCATTACTCTGATTGACCTGTTCTCTTCTGTGGCAACTGTCATAATTTGGGTCTTGATTCTCTCACTTTACCCCAAAGCTATAGCATATAACAAGCTCTTTAAGTTCCTCACCACTACGTTTCATGCAAGACACCACTGGGTAAATGACCCCAAGAAAAAGACTTTTGTTGCAGCTCTCACCTCTTCTAAGAGGGAGTGGTGACTCAGCTCCTTCTCTAGCCATCATCATTAACCGTACATATCATCCCTTTTGGAAGCGGTCATATCAAACACGTGCTCTCTCAAATGTGATGGGCGTCCTATGTGCTTTGGCTAAAGCTCATGTGGAATAGTGGAAGAGAAGGAATCTGCTATGATTTATTTTCCACACTCGAGAGGTGTGAAAAACATGGCCTTTCAACAACAAAAAAAATTGTCAGTAACAGTTACATAACAATAACAACAAAATCTGGTTATGTACTGCTGCCTTATGAATTTCAGATGAGTCTCCTTGTAGTTAGTGCTAAGGAAGAAGATATACAGTGATCCACAGTGGCACAGTACACTGTCTCCTGTTAGTTTTCAATAGGTCAAATGATCCAACAAAACAAGATATAAACAAGAAGCTAACCAGGCATATGGTACAGCCTTTCTGATAAGGACTGGGCAAGAAAGATATTTGATTTATCAGTTCAGATGAGTCGGTTAAAGGTTTCTTAATGAACTCAGTTCATCCAGGCATTGGCTGAGAGGATCCAACAACAGAAATTCTGCGTAGCTTTTTCATTGTACCTTTTGGTGCAAAGTCCATTGAAATCTTAGACTACAGTTTTTAAGGAAGAACTATTGTTGCTTATTTCATCCAAATGTGCTTGACACTGCCTGCAAGTTAACTGAGGGTTAAGAAGAGTAGCATCACCACCCTCGTTTTACATCATAAAGTGTTTGTTTTTCTAAGACTGCATCAAGTTTCCCCATGCCCTTGACTCAATGCCTTAACTAGATTCATACTTATGCCATTATGGCTCATGCCATAATTGACCCACCTACACTGAACTGCTGGAAGGCAAGGCTATACAAGGGTCAAGGAGGCACTTCTGAGGTGTTCCTGCAATGAAAGAAAATAAAGCTTGGTTGATTAATAATGAGTAATCGGGAGTAAAGAACAAACTTACTTAAATGAGATAAAGCAAGCATATAAAGAAATACAGTTTTCTGGATCATTTTATAACCACAGTATATGAATTTAAAATGGATTTTAAATTGCTTGCTTTAGCCATTTTTTTTTTTTCTTTTCTTTCTTTTTTTTTTTTCCCATTACAGTTTCTACTGATATGTACAGGAATTTTTCAGCTACTGGTGCCCTGGATGTTTAGTCTTCATTTAATTCAATGCTCACCCTATCTGATTGTAAGGAATAATCTGATACACTATTTATGGCTGTGCCAGATTAAGCAAAATTTTAGTTAAAAAAAAAAAAAAATGGGACAAAGAAAACAAATTCCTTTCTTTGTCTGCTTCTTCTCTCACTTCTTTCCATTTATTTTCAAATTTTAGTTCCAAAGGAAAAGTCAAAACCAAGTTGGCATGAAATGACTATATCAGTCAAAACTTAGCCATTCTGTTCTCATTTCATTTTGCCATCTGGCAGCAGAACAGTACTGCTGGAAGTCAACTCTAAGGAGAAGTAGACAAAGTCATACACTCACAGCCAACGGTCCACATCAGAAAACAAACAAACAAACAAAAAATCACTGAAGGAAACCTGCCAGAGTATTTTCCTTTTAGTTCCCTAAAGACTCCAAACACACTTCCCACCTAAACCAAAACTGTAAATAAGAAGCCCTAGTGACAGGTGTCAATACACAAGGATAATACAAAATTTTTCCCCTCTTAAAAGAAAATAAACACTTCAGCAGTCTGCAGATCTACAGAGTTCTCAGGTGCTCTGCAGTCTCTTTCCTCCCAGAACACCTCATAAACCTCACCGGTAGCACAGTGTTGCATTACCCAACCAGCCACATGCAGTGCGATTACATCCATAGAGAAGGGCCACAAAGCCACCTTACAAAGAGCTGAGAGGAAGGAAGTGAAAGAACTGTAGCTCCAGCAGAAGGTAATCTGTGGGGTTTTTTTGGTTTTTTTTTTTTTTCTTTTTTTTTTTTTCCTCATTTGTTTGTTTTGTTTTCCTATTTTCATCCAAATCAAGTAAGTTTTGGAAAGCAAACAAACACTGTGTGCTATCACAGTGGTGTTTCAGTAAACAAAACCACCCAGCTTTATTCTAAAGTCCATGTCCTCTAACATCAAAAGTGTGAGAAAGTTGTTTTTAATTAAATTATTGCTTAGCAAAAGCAAAGTCCTTGCAGCATGATCAAAGAGGTAGTTTATGGAGTTGGCAGGCTACTGCCTGCCACTAATGCATTCTCCTTGGCAGAGAACTAGTTTGGAACAGTGTTTAGAAATAATATAATCATTAACCAGCTCACTGAAAGGCTACCAATATTAACCAATATTAACGAATACTGTGTTATTCTGAAAGATTAACAACTGCTGCTCCACTAGTCTGTTCATTCCTGAGCAAAACAGGGGGATGCAAGAGGGAGCCCGCCCCATTACTTCTCCGTCCCACGAGGGGATAGGATGCTCCGTGTGTTATAAGATCCCATTGCCCTCTACTGGCTGTTCTGGCCATGCTGGGGTTTGCAGGCATCCAACTTTGTGCTTTTCCCGTGTTTGTTTTTTTAGTTCCAGGCTAATGCCATTATCACCATACAATCCAGTCCCCTTGACAGGGGCTGGACTCCTCTCTATTCCTCTTTTTGTCTCAAACTCATTGACCATCTGCCCCCATCTGTCTTGCTTGGAGAAATAAACAGCATCCTCTTCCAGATACATGGGAGATCAGGAAGGTCCAACATGTCAGCAGTGCACTACTGGCGATCAAGGTCAGACTCTGCAACTACATTGTAAATGCGGCTGCAGGAATCCTCATCTGAGGCATTGCTCCTGTAGTAGACAGAGTCATAGTCCTCTGCATCAGTGCTATTGGACACAGCTGCAAGAATGGTAGCCTCTGAGTTCCTTGGAGAGAAAAAGTGACACCTGCATCCTGCTGCTGGGTGACCTGGCTGGCACTGCACCTTCAGAAAGAAACATCTGTACTGGAGATGTTCCCATACTGGCTAAGTTGGCTTTGTCCAATGAAAGTTAGAATCTTCCCTCTCTACAGCAACTGATGAGTTTGCAGGTGAAGAAGGCAGGAACCTGTTTTTCTGTATATCTTTACATTATTTGTACATAGACTAAAAAAGAAACAATATGAACTTACTAGGAAGCAGAGGGCATATCTCCATGCCTTGGGGAATTCGGTGAAGGCAAATGCATCAAAAGAAGTGGTTTCACAACAACACCTCTGGCAGTGAAGTATTAACCTCATTATGTATTAACATTATTATGTTGTTGATACATGAACAACTCCCATTCTGCTCTTCTTCCTCCCATCAGGAATTTGGAACAAGTTTTGGGCAGATTACTTCAGAATCCTTCACCCAAGGATTTATCTAGGATTTATCAGTCTGGAAAAGAGGAGGTTCAGGGTTAGTCTCGTCACTCTCTACAGTCACATGAAAGGAAGTCGTAGTGAGGTGGAGTTCAGCCTCTTCTCTGAGGTGAATAGTGACAGGATGAGAGGTAATGGCCTAGCATTGCTCCAGGGAGGTTCAGATCGGATATTAGGAAAAAAAAAACTTCTCATAAAGCAATACTGCATTGGAACAGGCAGCTAAGGGAGATGGTGATGTCACTGTCCCTGAAGGTGTTTAGAAACATGTAGATGTGGCACTGAGGGATGTGGTTTAGTGGGCATGGTAGAGATGAGCTGATGGACTAGATGATCTTAGAGGTCTTTTCCAACCTTAATGATTCTATGATTCTAAAGTGTACATGTAGGCTCTAGAGATGTGCAGATTGGTCAGCACAGATCTAACCCCTCCCAGCCCACTCCACCAAGATCTATACCTGTATAATCAAAGAATATCAGGATGTCATAATCACAAACTAAACAAGAGAGTTAGGCAAAGCAGACTATGATAACAAAAGAGAATAAATAGAAGGCTTACCCCATCCTAGGCTCACTCACAAAATAGCAGCAGAGGCAATCTCCAGAAGAGATCTTTCCCTATTGGTAGCCAGCTCTTAAATAGGTCTAGGAGGGGTGGAGCCAGGCTTGCCTTCGCCTGTGCTCCTCTGGCTGACTCATTGCTCACCGCAGGTGATCAATCAGAGGTTCAGGCCGTGACTCAGCAGTTCCCATACATGTACCAAAGTATCTGAAAGTACTTACGCACATTCGTTCAAAACTTCCTATGCTGCAGCTTATGTCCGTTTCCCCTAGACACTCTGGTGTGAAGCCCCACCTTCAACTCCCTTGCTTACACGAAAAGCAAAAAGCACACAGATAACTAGTAGCTCCCTATTGCTGCTGTGAATAGCCCTTACTAAAATGTCCATCTCTGTTTTCAGAGAGAAGAAAAATGACCTTTAATCTGCTTGCTTTACAGGGACACTCTAACATATTATGGATATTAATTATTTAACTTATTAATGAATCCTACAGTGAGATGAGAAGGAGAAGCACATAACAAACTGTAATTTAAAGTGTCATTTAAGTCCCTAGTTCGGATCTAGAGTTCACATGCGTAACTGCAGCGACTTCCAGGTGCCGCGGGGCCGCGCACAGCTGCAGCTCGTCGGGAGCCCCGGGCGGGACCCTCCCCAAAGCCTCCCTGAGCATCTTAAGCTCAGCCGGAGGCTGCTGGGAGTCACGGCGGAGTTCTTGCGGTTCTGTGTGGGAGATGGAATGGGCTCCGTTCGTTTGACCGGCCCTGCGGCTGAAAAGGGCTGCTTCTACAATAGTGCCTTGGGATCCTCTTTAATGTTCTTGTTGTGTCGTTTTGTTTCAGGCTGCTGTGGGATCCTCACTCGCGGTGAGGATCAGCCCAAACCGCCGAGCGGTTCTGGTAGTAAGGGGGACCGTGGAGGCGGCGGGCGTTCGGGAGCTGTTAGGATCTCTTAGGCTGAAGCAGGAGGCTGCCGGGTTGTCGAACCCTGCTCTTCCCGGGGCCGGCGTAGGGCTGCTGCCGGGCTCCTCAGGCTGTTTGCAGCCGAAGTAGCGTCGTTGCTCGGCTCCCATCGCGTTTTCGGAGGGGGCTGCCGCTCGGATCCGAGTCCTAGCCCAGCCCCGGGGTGCTCTCCGGGATGCCCACCTTCCCCCAGGTTGTTGCGTGTTGTTTTTTTTGTTTGTGTGTGGGGTTTGTTTTTTTTTTTTGTTTTTGTTTTTTAAGCGGGTGCATTAGTTCTTCCTGCTCTCATGAATAGGAGCAAGCAGAATTGGAGCCGTATTCCTATAGCCTCAGTGCTGCTAGGAGTAAGAAGCAACGCAAAGGGCTGCTGAAACAGAAGTTTTCTCCTCCTGCAGCCTTTACTCAGCCTGCAATAGAGCCTCTCGTCAGCCCGAGCTGGTGAGTGTTTCAGAGTCGCTTGGTAAGATCTCTCTTCTCGGGGCTTATATAGGGCTGCTGCTTGGCTACCTTTGAGTTTCTGGTATCGGTACTGTGCCGCTTCTGGGCTTCCTCGTGTCTTTTTAGAAGGATCGGCATGGAGCTGCTGCCCAACAGCCTGAGACTGAGCACGATTCTGGGGTGGTCTCACCCCCTGAGGAGGGTTGTGGGGGTGCTTCAGCCCCGGCTGCTTCCAACAGTAGGAGTGAGAAGGATGGGACCACATTGTTTTTGTTTTTGTGTTTTTGTGGTTTTTTTTGTTTTGTTTTGTTTTCCTCCCTTCTTCGTGTGTAACTACGATGATGATCTCGTTCCCCTTGTGGACACCTGGTGGGGCAGCTTACACGACTGGAATGCTGTTGTGGATGGTTCTGTTCTTTCTTTTAGGAAAGACAGACTGGCAACGTGGTGGAGTTGCTCTTCCAGTGAGAGAACAGGAACATACTGAGGTCTGCCTGGGTAGTGGAGTACTTGCATGTGAGACTCAAGAGGCAGGTGAATGTGGGTAACATCACTGGGGGTGTTGGTTACAGACCAGGATGAGGAAGTTGATAGACTGTCTACACACAGCTGAAAGTAGTCTCACAGCTGTGGGCATTAGTTCTCATGGTAGACTTTGTGAGAGGTGGGTTGTGCTTTTGCAATGGAAATTTTCAGTATTTCTCACTGGTAATGAGAGGGAGATAAATACTTGCTCTCTAGATAGTGACTTCCCTCCAGGAGAAAACCTGGAGGATGTGAGAGCACAAAAAGACAAATCAGAAAACCTGGTGACCCTTCTCTGCCCTCTGATAGAAACTAGGCATGCATATGAAGAGGGTGAAAGTGGGTACTCTGTTAGCATTGAGGTCCCCTATTTTTCTACAGAGCTGGCCAAATTAAAGAAAGATTTTGGTTACACACTTAGGAAATCAGAGGCAGTATGTGTGGAAAGACCCACTGATGGGGAGAACAGATCTTGTTGATTAAAAAGGAGTCAGATGGTTACTGGGGACCTGGAATTTTTTTTTTTTTTTTTTTTTGTGCTGGCAACCACTGTGCCCTGTGGTCCCTTACTCAAAGAGCTGGTTAATGGAATTATTACTCCCTGGGACAACTGATATTGATTGATTTGCTGTGTGCTGATCCTGTCACTTTCACACTCAAAAAGCCTCTTAACAGATACATCTGGAAGGCTCAAGATGACCAGGGGAAGATGTAAAGTAACCATCTGGATTTCACCTGCCTTCCAACTGTGGTTCATTTGGGACCAGAAAAGTTTCTCTTTGCTCTTGTCTCTTCTAGTTAAGCTTTCTCTAACCTTGGTTCCTCTGTGTATGGGAGCTGTTGAATCATGGCCTGAACCTCTGATTGATCACCCAAAACAAGTTATAAGTCAACTGTGGCAGCACAGGTGAAGGCAATTCAGTTGTGTGACTGGAAGGGGTGGAGCCTGGCTGTACCTCTCCTAAACCCTATTTGAGGATTTACTGAGGAAGGACCTCTCTCTTCAGATCACTCCTCTTGGAGTCTTTTTCTGTGAGCCCAGGACACAGGTAAGCCTTCCATTCATTTGATTATCCCTTTCTAACACAGTAATCTTTCCAACCTAACTTCTCTGTATACTGATTGATTATACAGCTGTATACTCTTTGATTATACACTCTGAAACTGGGAAGCTCTCTCTTTTGTTTTCTGTATGCTAATGAATGCTGATCCTGTTGCTGAGTCTTGCATGTTCCCTTCTCACTCTGTTCCTTTCTCTGGGATCCCTGTGGTATCATTAATGTCACTGTTTCAGACAGGCATATTCAGATAAATATTTCTATTAGCTTATGCTGATCCTGTCACATTCACTGGCTGGTCATGGTCCCATGCCTGTATTGGACATACTGGGTGTATGGGATTGAATTCTAATTGTAACAAAGGCTTAACCCTTTCCACCATGGTTAAGCACAGTCCTGAAATATGTTCAGGAAGTGAATGGGGCCAGGATAGTACTGGCAACTCTGGGGAGATGTAGGACAAAGAATAGAAGTAGGGTGTCAAATGAGTGATCTACCTGCATTGCAACAACCCTGCAGTTTTCCCTATCAGCACTGGGGAATCAATCAGAAGTTTTTATCTAATGTATTATCTCAGTGGGAAAGAGCTAATATAAGACCATCAGTTAATTGTAGATGAACTTGTCAAACTCAGCGTCTTCCTAGCTTTTATGTGTAGAAGGTAAAGGAAAAGCTTTACCCACTGAAATTTGAAAGGTGGGCTGGGACAATACAAACAAATTTGAAAGAGAATTTCAGTCTTGGTGGTGTCTAGTTAATTTTACTTATGATCCTGTTAATAACATTGCTGCAGCTTTTGTCCTAACAATAAGCAATGCTTTGATACATACTGTGTACCCAATCATTGTGCAAGGACTGAATCACAATGAGGTTATGCCCTATTCATTGGAACACAGAGTATGGGCCCAATAAAATGGGAACAAATGGCAAGCTGTTGATGTTAGTTCATGTGCTGTATGGGGAGAAAGAAGGATTTATTTTGAGAGTAATACCATCAAGACTTGATATGCTTGTGTTGACCCTGAGCAAACTATTTGCCATTTTGGAGGTGTCCCAATGAGACCCCTGAAATAGTGCTCATCTATATTGGAAAAGGATGTGTGTGTATGAGGACCTCTTATAATTTTATACTCACAGGTAATATTATTGTAGATACAAGCAATCATTCAAATGTACTGTATTCAAATGTCTGTGTGTGTAACTTTACTAACATTATGGGATGTGACTCTAATTATTCAGTTCCAGTTATGTCCTATCAGTTGCTGTGGTCCAATTATACATCAATCCAAGATTTGCCACCTGCACCAATTGAAATGAATCTTATTTGGTAAAGAAATTATTGCAATGTGACAATCTGTACCAGTTGTTAGGCTGCCTTCAACATAAGGGACAAAAAGAACTTAGATTACTGTTCTCCATGATATGGGGGAGATGCACCATTTTCTGGTAAGGGTGAAGAAGGATGGAGAACACCACTGATGGGAAATGCTCCTTAGATGGTCACCAACAGCAAGAGGAGTTTTTAATTCTGTGCTTCATGGGTTTGTGATCATATTAACCATAACATTGCATATATTGGTTGTAATTGTATGTGAAAGTCTGGCACATGCTGAGGTGACTGACTTGGCTCGAATTACCCAAGGAGTCTGAAAGTTGGCCCAGGTATTAGATTACTTTTCCTAGCCTCCTGGTGATCCATGGATAAGGTGAGGTGTGTGTGTGTCAGCACTCACACTTTTTTCCTTTGCCTGTGTGTTATTTTTAACATGTATCTTTCCTTTCTCCCCTCATTCCCCCTTTATTTTTTTTTTTCTTGAAACCACCATGGGACAGTGACAACTGGCTTTGTGGCACTGGGTGGTGTGAGAATAGGGAACAGTATTTGGCTCAAACCTTGTTCAGAGGCAGCCATCTGATACATGAGAAGCTGGAGAATGCTTGGCTCAGAGCCTGTTCAACGGCATCCATCCAAGGCATGACCTGACCAACAAGCTTTTGAAGTAAATGGTTGACTACTGTGAGCACAGAGGTGAGAGGACATGCATTGTTCCTCCTGATGAACAAAATGTGGATACCGTGGCAGCTACCATCACCATGATGGACACGACATGATGACCCTGATCACTGAGGTAGGCAGGCCTGAAGAGTTCTGAGGAAGAATGGGTAAGTCAATGAGATGTTGCATGACCAACCTGCTTCCTTGCCATGGACCAGTAAGACACTGTTGGATTCCCTGGTGGTGACTATTCCTGCTCTGTAAACTGTTTGCTAGAATTTCTGTCTTTACTATTGCTAACTTCCCTATCTTTCCTGAATTCCTTGGTAGTTTAGAGCCTCTAATGCTGATTATGCTCTGATTCTAGACTTGCTGCTTGTTCATATTGGGAGGAATCATACAATGGTGAAGAAATTGTTATTAATAATGTTTTTTATATATGGGGAAAATAGCAAGATTCATTTTGATAAATGATAATCAATCATCAAGTTGGGATAGTAAGGTAGTTTACTACTAGAGGTATTTTGTGGTCTGGTTTGAAAACTCAAGAGGGTAAAAAGGAAGAGGGGGAATTGTAAGAGGTTGCCTTTTTGCAGTGGCAATTTCCAGTATTCTGTATGTAGCATAAGGTAAGCTGTCTTTCACAAAGAAAGCTGCTGAGCACAGTAAAGCTGAGACTGGGGTGTTCTGGCATAGGTAAAATTGGCACAGGCACTAGGTAAGGTAATTTTATAGGCTAGGGAGGAGTCTGGTACAGGACAGAACTAGTGTACTAATTGTTGAAAATGTTGTCATCCTCTTGCCATAAAAGGTACAGAGCACACAAAGACAGTGGGTTGGTGACAGATATATGGAAGCGTAATGTAGCAACAGCACTGGAAAGTTGTGAGCCTGAGACTAAACCAAGGAGTGCCAGGAGGCTTTACCTGCGTCAGACCCATGGTTTGTAATAGAATGGATTTCACTGGCTAGTTGTACAGTTTCTCCCTTGTCAGTGGGGATCGTGTGGCCATTACTGCAGTAATGAAAAACTGTTCTTAACAGATCTATGATTAGAAGTTTTTGATCTAGAGTGTGTTTCTCACAACTTGAACCACTCTGTCAGCTGTTAGGAAAGCAAGGCTGCCAAGAGTGCTCATTCCAGAGGTTCTTGTAGTATGTCAAAGAAAATCTTTTGGTACAGGTGTTGAAGGAGCCATTGAGAAGAGAGGTGTTGCTGGAGCTTGCTCTCCCTGTTGTAGAAGGACTCTTTGGGGACAGGAAGACCAGTGGTGGCCTCAAGTGTGGCAGGTGTGAGCTGCAGTGTTCAGTGTGGAAGATATGAAGCAATGAGTAGAACTGAAACACTGAACTTTAAGGGAGCCAACTTTGTCTTAAAGGATCTATGTGAAGGTACACCTGGGGTTAGAGCATTGGAGGGGGTCCTGTGAGCAATTGTTGATGCTGGAGTGTTACTTCCATGCTCAGGAGCTGTGCATCCCAAACAGTGAAGAACTGAGCAGGAATGGCAGGAGACCTGCAGGGGTGAATGAGAACTCATGGTTTAACTTGAAGGGGAGAAAGAAGAGAAGGATTGTGGAAGGCTAAGGCCCTCTCAGTATCACCTTTAGGAGGGAGGTCAAGACTAACAAAAGTTTGTCAACAGAGAAAAGGTGACTAGAGAATGTGTGGGCCTCTGCTTTGCAAGGTGGAGATTCTGGTAATGGGGATGCATTTCTGTACTGAATGCCTTTTTGTCTTCAGTTGTTGCTGCTGAGACTGCTTGTTGGGAACCCTGGATTCTGGAGGAGCTGGTCAAAGGTAGTCTTGGCAAAATGGATGCCAGCAAATGCCTGTGGGAGCTGGCAGAGGTGACTGCCAAATAGCTCTCTATCACACTTCCTCTGGTTTTTCCTACAGGAAAGGTGCCTGAAGACTGGAGGATAGCTGATGGCCCTGCAGGCTTCAGAGATGGTGAGAAGCATGGCCTCATCTCTGGGAAGGTGATGTGACAACTTGTTCCAGGTGTGTCATCTGCAAGTGACCAGAAGAGAAATGTCTAAGGAGCAGATGGGGTGGGTTCACTGAGGGGGAATTGTGCTGGGTAGCTTTGTATGTTGTCTTGATTGTCCAGCTAGATGAGAGAAGGGTGGCTGATGGCAATATCTGATGTGCAGGAGCCCAGTTGATGATGATGGGTGGTGTGTTCATGGCCTATGCAAGCAGAAAGGAGAAGGATCAAAGTGGGAGGGATGGAATAGGCTGCCCAGCCTCCTTCCAGTAGTGCTTTGATGCTTTCCTGGGTGATGTGTGGTAGGGAAGTGGGCCAGATGATCTCTAGAGAGGTGTTTCCATTCTGTATGGCTCTGATTGTGTTCTTGTTGCAGGGTGAGGACTAGTTGGAGTATGTGAGTGATGGATCTGCAGATATGAACCCTCACACTGGAGGATGGAGCTGGTTCACAGCTCTTCCTGCATGTTAATGGCTGGAATGAGGATTCCAGTGAAGCATGGTGAGCTGTATCTGTCTATCCCTTACCTATGTGCTGCCTCTGGGATGGAGTTTATGTCTGGGACTCAGTGTGATGATGTGGTTTTCTTGCAGGCCTGGAAGGAATGGAGTGAAGTGAGAGCAGCCCTTCTGTGCTGGAGTGTGGGGATCTGATGGATCTCTCTGCTGATCTGGTGGAGGAGCAGAGGATGTTGTGGTGTGCCTGGCTGGTTTTGTTGCTTAAAAGGTTTGTATCAGTTTTTGGAAGTGGTGTCTTGGAGCTGTCTGGTGTGTGTTAGGTGGCTTTGAGGTTATTGATGACCAGCAGCCAAAAGCACAGCTCCCACAAACTGGGAGCTGTGCTTTTGGCTGCTGGTTTGGGGCTGTTTGCTGGGATTTGCGCTATCTCAAAAGAGGTTATTTTTTTTTTGGGTGGGAGGGTAGGATGGTCAGTCTCGGAAATTTTTTGGCTAGAGAGGAGTGGCTGAGGGGGGTTAGGGGGGCTCCCACCCACTAAGTAATGTTCTACTTTGTCTTTTGAATAAAAGACATGGAACTTCACTAGGGTGGTGCCTTTGCATTAAATGTTTGCATGTGGCATATTGTATTTTATGTGATGACAGTTTGCAGATAAATTAATAATCCAGTTCTCCTGTGTTTGAAGTGCAATAGCTAGATAATAAAAGATATATAAAGGATCTAGAAGATATAAAGGATACATAGGATATAAAATGGAGTGATTTACTCAGATATGATACTACTCTCTGTGTGACTTCAGCAACAGCATCTCAGTGAGTTATTAGGTTGACTCATTAGTGCAAACAGGTGTCTGCAGGCCATAAACCTGTTGCTCCTGGTGATAACAGAATATAGCTTTTTTTCCAGAGGGGAAAAAAGTAGTGTAGTAGTGAGATGAGAGGAAAAGCTTAACAAACAAATACACAAGCTCAGTGAAATGTCTGTTATGTGCAGAGTAAGAATGCAGACTAGATTGGAAGGGGCCTACAACTTGTAGCTGTGCATGAGCCCACCTGAACTTCAAATGCTATCTCTAAAAGCAGTGCCCAAATGCTTCTCCAAGTCCATCAGCCTGGGCCTGTGACTGCTGCCCTGAGGAGCTTGTTCAGGTACCCAGCCACCCTCTGGTGAAGGAACTTGTTGTAATTTTCACTGTGGCTTAGTACATATCCAAGTCCCTTGCCCTAGTCAGTTGTAGAAAAACTGAAGAGAGCAGTGGGATGTCACTGGAACACCCAGGAACAGCTTAAAAGCAACAGAAGATAGAACAATTACTGAATCAGCCTGCCTTAACTGAAGTTGATGCAACCCTTTAACAGTGGAATGTAGTCTTCAGTCAATAGTAAATCTATAGCTAAGAGTAAAGATTTAATTGCTATGCACCCAGTCATTTCACTATTCATGTTTTATGCCTTGTAACAGTATGTGTGTTTTCTAACATTAATAGTCTGAATGGCTGAGCAAGAACCACTTGGAGCAATAAAGCCTAAAACAGTGAAAAAACTTTCATTGATTCATAATGTATTTCTTGGCAGGGTGCACATTCAGAAGAGAGCTTCCAACATGTGTCTTTCCTTAAAAACAGCAGTATGAACTGTCACTTTAGCTGGAGGCCTGGGCTGCACAAGTGTGTTCCTCCATCAGCCAGGGAAAGAAAGGAGTTTGTTTGTTTTTTTTTGTTGTTGTTTTTATGACAAATCATATATAAAGCCCTAATTCTTAATTCATGTGAGCGTTTGACCTTTGTTCTTTTCTTTTGTTCTTTGTATTGAATGCTGATCCCTAGTTGCATAGCAGAGCAGGAAGCTCTAACCTTCACCCATTTCTACACTCACTTGCAGAAATTATGGCCATAATTATTTCCCTTCCATATCATTTTGGGTTATTGTGCTGAGAAGGTAAACCCCTACCCCAAACCTCCATGCTTCATGATGTACCATGTGGACTTCTTTTTAAATAAAAAGAAATAACAGTAAAAATAAACCATACAGGAATAAGAGTTTTTTTAAAACTTGATGTGATTTAGCTGTACTCAGGGGTTCATAGAATGTTGTGTATTCATCACAAAACAGTGGTAGAAGCAGGAAAACTAAGGAGGAAAAAAAAAAAGGCTTCAGCTATCATCTTGCAAATCTTATTGCTTATAGCATGAGTGCTTTAGACTACCTAGACATGCTGGTCTTGGAGAAGTCAGGCAGAATCACTTATATATTTCCTTAGAGCTAAGACCCCACAAACTTCACAAGCCTAGCAAAAGTACATGAGAACAGGTCCAACAAGCTCTGAGGAAGAGAAGTGAGCTCACCTGTCAGTACTGCTGGGGAAGGCAGCTGTGGTGATTGTTGGGCTGATGCCCTCCTATTTTGTTTTTAATAACTGTCAGTTAAAGTAGGATGACCAAATAGAAAAGTACATCCCTAAAGTCATCCTCTGACTCTCTGAACCCTATTCTCCATTGCTTATGCTGAGACAGGAGGCCAAATCTGAGATTTTACTGAAAGAAGATTTTGCTTGGTTCTAAGACAGGACAATTATCTAGCTGTTAGAAGAAATTTAATTGCCATGCTCAAGAAATCACTGGCTTCCAATCCATCTGATTTCCAGATGCAAGTTTGCAATGACTATTTTTTTCCCCTCCAACTCAGAGTATTTCACTTTTCTAAAAAAACAATTATCTAGAAATTACCCTTTTTGGCAACTGAAATTGTTAATTCCACAATATGTTCTCTGCTCAGAGAAGCCTTAGTTCTATATACCCTACAGGAGGTTTACCATTAAGAAGGCCCACCTGCATAAACAGCCAAGAATTTCAGTAGCTTTGAGAAAGGTGAATTTGCCTTTAAGATTTTCCAGGGATTGCAAAACTAAATTTATTCTCCCTTTCCCTGGGATTTGCTTAGAGTTGGACTGACGTCCACCCATGACATTGTGAATAACCCTGCACTCAGATCAGCATTTAACAGTGTCATTGTTCTATCCCACCCTACCAGAACTCTTTACTCTGGGAAGAAATTGCATTCTTCAGGCAGCATTTATTGCCTTACAGGAATAAAGTATGCAGAGTCTCTCTCTCTCCACAGAGGGATTAGGTGACACCACACTTCTGTCAAGACTTAACAGGGAATGAAACAGGTTCACTGTAAGTTACCCACCTCTGAGCAACTGTTTCGGAGCCGCACATAGAACCCCAAAGACAAACAACAAGGAAGAACTCTCTTGTAGAAAACAAGTTCCAATATTAAAAGCCCTGTCGTTATGAAATCTTAAGAAAACAGAGAGATCTATTGCTCCCTTGGTTCTTTTTCCCCCACTGCACCAAGGGGAAATAATGTCAGCCAAGCAGCATTATTTCTGACAGGTTCTGTTTCTGCAGCATTCACAGCTTTCAGTTAACTCAGGCAGAGGAGGCTAATTGTGAAATCACTATGTAACATGGAGTACAGCACTCCATGTGCAGAAGAAAAAAAAATTGTATATTCTCAAATGCCGAGTTAGAATGGAGTATGAAATGAGTTCTGTAAGTATGCCTTTCTGAGAGCATGAGAGTTCTCCAGCCCCTAGGAGTTCAGATGCAAGTGAACTCAGCAAAAGATTTATTAAACAAACAAAACAGAAAAGGATGTCTACAAGCACATTGCTCAGAAGAGAAAGGGCAAGGAAAGCATACTCACTCTTGTAAGCGAAAAAAGGCAATGACAGACATAGGGAAGGCTGAGGTGCCCAATGTCCTTCAACTCAATCTTTGCTGGTGGTCTGGCTTTCCGTATTTCTTGTGTCCCTAAACCTGTGGGCACAGGCTGGAGGATCAAAATCCCTCCCACTGTAAGATAAGGAAGAGTCTGAGGCCACTCGAAGAGGCTGAATGCATACAAGTCTGGGGGGCCTGATAACATGCATCCCAGGCTCAGAGCCTTGCTAGATATGAGCACAGACCAGGAGGAAAACTCACTGAGATCAACCCTGCGGAGAAGAACTCGAGGGTACCAGTGGACCAGAAGCACTAGAAGTGAACTAACAGCACACACAGCCCAGAAAGCAAAGAGTATCCCAGGCTGCATCAAGAAAGGGAGGGATGTCAGGAAAAGGGAGGCAATCATCCCCCTCTATTCTGCCCTCACGAGCCACTGTCTGGAGCCCTGTGCCTGGGGCCCTCAGCATGAGAGAGAATGTGGAGCTCATGGAGTGAGTCCAGAGAAAAGCCCCAAAATGAGCAAAGAACTGCAGCAGCCTTCCTATCAAGAAATTTGTGGGAATTGGGTTTGCTTACCTCAGAGAAGAAAATGCCCCATTATGGCTTCTAGCACTTGAAGAGAACTTACAAAAAGGAGGGGGAACCAACTTTTTACATGGTCTGTGATGGAAAGTACAGCAATAACAGCAGGGTGGCAAAGCCCTCAGCTGCAGCAAATGAGAACAAGCCCAAACACAGCAGCAGCTGTGGATGCAGAAACAAAGTAGCGTCTTACCTGCAAAAGGCCTTCAGGAGGCAGGAATTGCCAGCAAGACACTCTCTCTTCCACTGCCAACTCTTAAATGAGGTCTGGGAAGGCATGGATCCTGGCTCCACCCCTCCCAGTCCTTCAGCTGCATTGCATGCACCTGAGCTTCTCTGGGTTGGCCCCACCTTCTCACCAGGTGCTTGATCACCTGTTCAAGCTGTGATTTGGCATTTCCATACAACCTGATAGTGACAGGATCAGGCAGACTGGCTTCAAACTAAGAGAGAGGAGACTTAGGTTAGGTATTAGGAGGCAGGAATTTTTTACTCGCGACACTGGCATTGAGACATCGGCACAGGATGCCTGGCAAAGTTGTGATTAACTCATCTCTGGAGACGTTCAAGGCCAGGCTGTATGGGGCTCTGGGCAGCACGATTGAGTGGGTGGCAGCCTGACCCATGGCAGAGGTGTTCAAGCTCAGTAATCTTCAGGGTCTGATCCATTCTGTGATAGAAATGGATCAACTGAGGCAAAGCCAACCGTTGTTTGTTTGTTTGTTTTTAACATCACATAGAGATGCAACATCATAAGCCATTCCTAAGTTCAGAGCAGAGCCCTGTTGTTGATTCTGATCAGATTTTCTTCTGATGAAATTTTATTCAGCTTTGGAAAAGTATTCATTGGACAAGCGTCATATAGGTATCTCCAGCCATTTTCCACTCCCTAGCAAGGCAAAAGAGTTCAAGTCAATCAACGATCACATCACTGGACTCTTGTACAGTTCATTAACTTTTTCTAGCTAGTATTCTAACAAGTAATAAAATACAGACCACAAATTCCCCTTGAAATACAACAGCACACTTGATACAAGGACTATATAAGCCCTAAAATAAATAAATAAATAAAGCTGCACGAAACAAATGTACAAAATAAATCACCTTCCTTATTGTCAAGGTAAGCCTAGATAGGGTATGTAATGTCACATAGGTTACGTCACCAACTGACAACAGAAACTTACCATTTTACCATGGAAGTCATGTTCTCTGGCTTCATTTTGAAATGATTTCCAGGTTAATTGGAAGTAAATAATTAGTCACAGCTACTGATTAATTAATTGATTCTAAAGTAAGTTAGAAGAATTAAGGGACTGCTACCTGTTTCTTACTCCAGTGGGGACAGATAATGAGAAGCGTGGTTCCGTTTGTCCAGAGGCATCCAAAAGTGAACTGGCTTCAATCACAACTAGGGCAAAGCTCAAAGCTACTTGTGTTCACTCTATTTTCTTTCCAGTGAAGTGGCTGAGTGTCTGTGAATGTTTCTGATGCTGCGGTGAGTTGGGCACAGCTTACAGAGGCGCTCCCGCCAGGCTGTTCTCTCGGTGCCCTTCTTCATTGGGAACTGAAGCTAGAAATCTCTGGGCAACAAAAGAACAAGGAGATCGCTTACCAATTCTGGTGTGATTTCCAGATTGGCCTTGGGAAACTTTACTGACTGTCAACTAAAATAAATACTTCCTGATCTGAGTAGACAAAAGCATTATTTGCAGGGCTTTCTAAAATATATATATATATATAATAACGTGAAACTGAAATTCTGACCATAAATGAGAACTCCAGATACAGACTGTGGACATTAGGAAGAAGAATGCCAGGAAAAGGAGGATGTGAGCTCAACAAGCCTTCTAGAAAGAAGAAATGGAGTGAAGATCTATGAAATGTAAATGGAGTACCATTTTCAGCAAGTGGTCAGTGACATATGAGCTCCAACTTTGTGTTGGAGAGCTGCATGGGGACATGTATCCTACAGCACCAGAGTGTTTGGATGGCTTCTACATTTCCCAGGCACAAAATCCAGAGTAATGAGCTAGCATCAAATAGATTTTTAGAGAGCTTCCTGTTGGGAAATTCTCAAGCTCAGTTTTGAAAGATGGAGAGTGCAGATATACTTGAATACAAAACAGCCAGGTGGCTGGAAATGAGCTGTGCTTCCATGTGGAAAATCTTGGAAGAAACCTCTCTGTCGCTCATTTCAGCAGATTTACATCAGCCAGAAGACATCTCCTTCTAGCAACTTGTATCCATTTTCTCATCCTAGCAGTACACAGCCAGTGTTTCAACTTGGGTGCCATAAATCGCCCAAAATAGAAAATGTGGGTCCACAAACAACAACAACAAAAAGGGGAAGACTAAGATTTTTTATTTTTATTTGTTTATTTATTTGTGACTACTATTCTTGTGACTACAGGAATAACAGCCTCATGGTATAATAACAGTAGGATTTAGGCATCTGTGGCAGGAGAAACACTGAAGATTTCACTGTGGATTCAAGATAAGCCAAACATTTCAATCTTTCTTGTTTTAACGTAGGAATGCACCTACGTGGGATTCGTTTCTTTCTTAGTTCTCAGTAACAAAGTATGCATTGAGAGGCCTAAACCTTTAATTGGGAAAATGGTCTAAGTCAAGTGCTGGATGATTATAAATAATAATAAAAATCTTTCAGTAAGGAAAAGATAAGTGTTCTTTCTGAATGCAAACATAATAATTTAAAACAATAATAATAATAATAATAATCTGAGGCACAGGAGCCGAAGAGAGCTTTTCCTCACAGTTTCATGCAATAGTTCTCTCATCAGCTCTGAACACATCAGCCTCTGTAACTCAGAAAGCATTCTTTTTTTCTTTTCAAGGATACAATATCCATTTTCTTGGCAAGTTTATAACTTTGGATCTCTCTCTCGCCTGCACAGATTCTTCTCTAAAGAAACCAATGTCCTTTCAGCAAGTCAGAAGAAAACCCGAGCCCCTCTTTAGATTCCAAATCCAGAAGCATTCGATTCTGCGACTCTGCTAAGCAGTGTGACACAACGTATTTGTTGTCATCAACATCTCACGGTTCTCCCGTCCCAGTTTTTTCTCTGCTTAAGCACCAGTGTGCAATCTTCGGTAGTTCCGGTAGAGGGCAATACAATACAATGCAATACAGCCATTTATCAAAGGCTCTTCAAAATAATTGCCATAACTAGCTCCTACAGAAAGCCTCGGGCTTTCCTGTTGTCTTGTTTAGGGTTGGTGTTCTAACGCCAAATATTTACAACTGTATTTCTTTTCTTTTTTTTTTTTTTAAATCCCGGGAAAGCTCATATTGTTCTGCAATACTGTCCTGCAATAGATTAATGTGCTATAGAGCACTGCAGTCACAGAGCTTGGGTAGACATGCAGGCCCTGCATTGCTCTCTGCATACACCCCATGGCTACATCCCACTGCTATGGGACTCGTCTTTCTCCTGTGGCTGAAAAAAAAAAAAAGTGAGCCCTCTGTGTGACTGGACCTGGAGGTCAATTCTGCAAATGTTAGCAATGTATTTTAAGATTTCTAGTAATGAGGAGTCAATGTGGCTCACTGGGACAAAATAAATAAATAAATAGATAGATAGATAGATAGATGGATGGATGGATGGATAGATAGATAGATAGATAGATAGATAGATAGATAGATAGATAATGAGCTGTACCCACCCCAGGAACAGGAATGCTGTCTACACAAAATTACTCAGTGTTTTTATACTGATAACCATGGAATGAGAGATGACAGTGAGCTTGTAGCATCCACGTACAGCCATGTCTATGTGCTAATTATTGGAAAAAACACTGCATGAGAGGCATGTCAGACTAGTCTAGGCAAACACTTGACCTCCTGGAAGCACTGAGTCTGAGTTTCAGGCTGGGAGCAGTGGGAATCACTACTCACAAAACAACTCCATGACTTGCTGACTTGTAAAGAGGAGATATTGGTGCTTGTCTTTTGTCTTGAAGTTGCCTAGCTTCACTAATTTCTGTAAACCACAAAAACAAGACCTTAGAAGAAAAAGGAATGACCTTGGCCCTTGAGACTTGCTACAGCAAGTAGAGATGTTGAGATGTCTACTGAAACTTAAAGGGCTTTTCCTGCTCTGACTGTGATTTGAAGTACAAGATTAATAAAACCTACTGCAACTATTCTCAGACCCGTGTAGAATTTAGAAACACTAACAAGATACACATTTTTCTGTCATCTAACATGTTGAATTCTTGCTGTCTTCATCTTGTCAGCTTCAAAGATATCTTTCTTTGTTCTATTTGAAACAAAAAAGCTGAAACTATCAAAGTTCTTCTTTCCAGGCATTAATGCCAGATAACCTGAAAAACATGTAACCTCCACCTGAGAAATCTCAATACCAGGAGAGGCATTGGGTAAGACAGCAATCCCTCCAGATGGAGGGTTGACATATGAGTACCCTATTCAGAATCCCTGATAGGTTTGACACCCCATGCCTCAAATAGAAGGGAACCCAGCATACAAAATCAAAATACTGAGTATACTGATGCGAAAGGAATGTCTGATAGGGCCAAATAGAAGGCAACAGCCCAGAAGACTAAAAGGAGGAAACAGGGCCCTTCTTCCTGGGGCTAGCAGGGACTGGGTCTGGAAAGATTGATTTTTAACGTACTATTGCCGCCCTCTAGTGCTCTGGATAAGAATCTGTCCGCCACTCCTGGCTACGAGCTGAGGTTAGGTAAAGAGTCAGTGCTGTTTTCAGGAAGGAACAGAGAGGATAGAAACAGACAACAACATCTACAACTGAAAAGATGAAAGATAGCTCTGAGCGGGTGTTAGTCCACATAGTTATCAATTACTTCAAATTAGCTACAACAGTGCAGAGCATGCCAAAACCCTTGCCCATTTTTGTTTCCAGAAGCAACAGCCTAAAAAAATCCAAATCTTCTGCCATCTCTCTGCTGCATCAAGGCTTGCATCAAGAGTCAGACAGTTGTTGAAGATAAGGTGGCAGTGGTTGATAATGCACAACACCTATAACCAATCTTGACACAAAAACTGACAGACAGTACCGGGACATTCTAGCGTATTATGGATATTAAATTATTTTCTGATTTTCAGGATAACTTCAGGTCAGCAGTCAGAACATCCCTTATAGCCTCCCAAGTACCCTCCACACATCTCTACTTCTGCTGTGTTGTTTTTTGATTTCAGAAAGCTCATTAACATAAAATACATATTAGTCTCAGAAAGGCGATAATAATCTCATAGAAAGCAAGCAGCCTTCCCAGCATTTGCCAGATAAAGGTATGCTTTGGCTGGAGTTTAATTCCTCAGCTGGTGAAGCTCTTCTCTCCTGCCAGTCCTTTGTCTGTAACTCATCATTCTGCCATGCATCTGGACAACTACAGAATCATAGAATCACTAAGATTGGAACAGACCCCCAAGATCATCCAGTCCAGCTGTCCACTTACCAATAACATTTCCCCACTAAACCATGTTCTTTAGTACAACATCCAAATGTTTCTTGAACACATCCAGAGACACTACCATCTCCCTGGGCAGCCCATTCCAGCAACCTGACTGCCCTTTCAGAGAAGAAATTTTTCCTAAGCGTCAGCTTCAGCTTTATAAGGAAACTCGAGCAATATGGGAAGGAAATTCAGGCCTTGTGGTCAGCTCACTGATCTGACACTCTTGTTTTGCTGAGTTCTTCCTCTAACTTGTTGAGTGATTAAAGCCAAATATCTGTAGATGATATTTATCCTGTGCTTGCAGAGTCAGTATACATTCTGTGACATCCACCAGCACTGAAACTACCTTTCCAAATGGCAGCTATTTCTCAATCCAGGGACAAACTGTAGATATATATCTCCTGTAGAGTGAAATCCAGCTTAGGAAATAATAACTGAAATAGCTGTTCAATTGTGGTGGTTGTCCACAGAGTGCTAATAAAAACATGTAATGTGAACTGACAACAAGTTTAAAGAAAGTCTTACTACAAAAGGCTTCTGGAAATTAAATCTACTCAGTTTAGTAAAGGAAAGGGGAAGGATGTAGTAGGGAACCAGTCAGAGAAGGATCCTCAGCCACACAGGGCTACTGCAAGAAGCTGTCTGTTGCAAGAAGCAGCAACTGCATGCATGCAGGCTAGGGACATGGCACGTATCTTTAACAGCAAGGAGCGGTTGTGAGTGAGACAAATGAGTGAAGCAACAGAGTGAACTCTACTTCAGAAAGTTAGGAGTTTTTTGCAGAGGCAGCTCAAGAGCCTCTATTGCATTTGAAGAGGAAATGTAAATAGCTGTGAGATCAGTCAAAGTGATCATAACGCCTTCTTCTGGACAAAAAACACAAACAAAAACAAAAAACAAACACCCATGAGTCAGTTAACATTCAAACTTATCAGCTCTGTCTGATTGTGTGCAATATTTATTCCTCTTTATTGTACAAATGATACAAAGTAAGCACTCTGTGCTACATCTCAGCACATACAATTACTTCTTAAGATACCACTTCGCTACTCCTGCAGTAGGAAAATCAGATGCTGATTAAAATTTGCTCTTTAGAAACAAATATTCCGGGGGATATTTCCTGTTCTGCCCTGTGTGCAACAGAGCAAATAATTCTGAGTAGCCAAACAGGAACATAAGATCTGCCCACTAGAACTGTATGGGTGTGAGTAGGGAACTGAATCACCTTTGGGCAGAGGAATGGGACAGAGCAATGGCAACCCAACTGGGCAGGTGGCTGGGACGGTCTTCTCTCATGCAACCCAGAAGAGAGCTTGAGAATTAACCTGAATCTCAGTCCTCTAAAGGGGGAAAACATGGGAGGTCAGTGATGAGAGCAGGGATGGCTGCAGGGGGCTAAGTCCTCCCTGTCACCAATGAGCCCAAAAAAATCAAATATTCAGGGAAATGCTTGTCCTCCTGTTAATGCCTCTTCTTCCTCTCAAGTCCTCCATTTCTCCTCTTTTTTGTAATTTGCCTGAGGAGAAAACATTAGGGTTTCTCCTCTACTTGTAAAGCCAAAGGGGCTGGGAAGTATTCTTCTATTCTCCCTACCACTAATGGTGTTTCATAGTTGAAGTGCCCTCTTCTGTGACCAAGCACTGTGAGGAAGGACAGAGATAACAGAGCCTTCGGAGTCTCTGCCAGAGCATTCAGCAGTGAACATCTCCCAGTCAATAAAAAAATCACTGCAACTGGGAAAGACAGCAAGGGTGCTGGAGCTGGGAAGGCAGGTTACATACAGGCCATCAGCCATCCAGCCAAGACACATGCCACTGACTTTTCAATCCTGTTAAATATCCTTTAAATGTGCATCATCTCACATCTATCACTCAGTTGAGTGCACTCACTTGAGACCCACTTCAGAGAGGGCTGGTCCTTTCATGTTTGCCCAGAAGTAATCTTGGGAGTGGACACTACAGGACCTTAGAAACATGACCTCAGGGACACATTTGTTCAAGCAGGATGCAGTGAAACAACTCACAGGCCACACACAAGCAGGTCTCTTTCTGGTGAATGCTGACTGGTGTAAAGGGAGCAGGGAATAAGCTGGGAGAAAATAATTACTTTGGTATTTGCTCGTATTTGCTTCCTTAATAGTGATAGTGTTACCTTTAACCTCCTCACATCATTCCACAGCCTCTGCTGCAGTTACATCAGGCATCCGCCTTGAAAGCTGCACAACAAATTCCCCAAACTTCCCCTCAGACCCAGGTCCACAGGGTGGGATGCAAGGGAACAGATGCAAGAGACCAGGCCTCAGATTCTCTATATTTTTTCCAGAGAAGTGCTCGACTGTGCAGATCATTATCATAGGAAGGCTGAGGCAATAAGACATTCACCATATACAGGGGAAGAACATGAGCTAGGAGCATGAACTGGATATATTGCATCAGCTTGTTGTGAAATTCAGCATTTTTTTTTGTTTGTGTGGTTTGCATGCTATGGTCTCTGGCCCTCTGTCTGTCTTCCATCACCACTTACAATCGCACGCCTTGGTGCCTGCAGCCATCATTCTCTTGGGCTGTGGTAAGAAGAAAACACACAAGTCATAAGCATACTTCCTCAAGAGAAGGAAGTGTCCTTGCTGTCCACATTTTTGCTGAAGCTCTTTCACTGGTAGAAGAAAAAGGAAATCAGACTACCATCAAGGGTCTAAAATAGTTGTCCTTTCCGATTCTGTATTTCATATGAAACACGAAGGACACTTTAGCACCAATCTTATTTGAAACTCACACGAGTGACAGAAATAACTGTATTTTCTCAATGTACAGGAGCTTCATTTCTCTACACAACACCTTATCTTCCTTATATAAGCCTTATATTCCTAACAAATTCTCCAAAACATAGAGCATTAGAAAGTGAGTTAAGAAATAAAAGCTAGATTTTCTTATTCAGTTCTGTTTTATTAGCATAAGCAGCTTTCTCATATATTTAAAAAACAAATAACAAAACAAACACTGCAGGCTTACACCACTAGTACAAAAAATCTGGGAAAAATGCAGAAGTGTTATTAATTAAACTACTGCTCTTAGATTTCCCAAACCTCACTTTTCCCTTCTGTTATCTCTGTGACTCCTAACCTTAAACCAAAGCCCAGATACTTGAGCCTAATCATCTCTGAGTATAACAGTCACAACTTGGACGTCTCTAAGGTGGAACACATTATACTTAATTGGTCAAATCCAAGGATCCTTCTTAGAAGCCATCATTTGACCTTTCTCCATAACCTTTATAGAAAGCAGCATTTTCTTCCCTCCCAGAACAAAAGAAGCTGCCCACAATGCCCAGCCTTCTCAGCAATGAAGCTGAGAATACCACTGCTAAGTCTGTACTTGCTACTGTGCCAAGCAAAACATTTGCCATGCATATCAGTGACAGAGAACTCTTCTGGCAGATGCTGAAACAAACCTTATTAGTTTTATGTAGAAAATATATAGGTACATATAGATAAAAGAGTTCATTTCCTATAAACCAGATTTTCTCATTTTAGATGAGAAAAGTGACTTCGCTACAAGAAGGTGATAAAAACTCTTGTCTGTGTTACAAAAATGCTCTGCTTTTACCTTCATCCTGACTGGGGCATTCAAAGTTGTAGTGAAAATATGTAATGTAAGTTTTTAAATCAGTTTATGAACAACACACAAACTTGAAAGACTATGAATTCAAGTCATGAGCATCATCTATTAAAAATAGGAAGGATTTAAAAGACCTGTTTATTGCTCCTGATACTATTTTCATTGAATCGGATGAGCGAAATGAGGAACGTGAAGACACCCATCTTCGTTCAGTACCTTTTCACTGCTATGTCCAATTCTCACACACAGCGTGACAGTACTTAGCTTGAAAGCAGTGTAATTTCTGTGATTTCTTTGTTCTGATTGGGAAAGGGAAAGCTAACACTAATGCAAGTATTGATTCTAAGAGTAATATAAAAATCTTGGTGATATAAGCTTGTAAAAAATTTGACCTAAGGAGTGTGCAAGGACCTAAACTGTGTGCAAGATTTGTCATAGTTAAATTTGCTTTGAAAGCCAAAATAGAGTATGGGTCAGCTCTGATGGAGAGGGCGTGTTTGTTATTTTACAAATCTCTGAAAGGTCTCTAATGTGAACCATATGTAACAGGAAAACATGCACTGGGTTTATACTCTGCTGAGCTCTCCTTGTTGCTCAAACAGCAACACTGTTGGGAATGCGATTTGGGGACAGGTAGTAGTAAGGGAGCTTTTTGTTCTTGTTGCGCTCAGTGATGGCGCTGACGATCTCATCCAGATTCTTGCGGAATTTTGCCATCGCCTCTTTCACCGGCTTCTCCACAAAATGTTCATCCGGATACATGCCCAGAAACAGCTAGTTGAAAAAAACACCAAGAAATCATGCTTTGAGATTAAAAAAAAGAAAAATGGCTGGTCTGTCTCAATGCTATGCCATCCAGCAGAACAACACCCTAAGCTTTAGGAGTGCTACTATTATGCCCAATCAACATTTAAGCTAGCACTTAAGACTAGCACTGCCAGTGAAAGATGTGTCCCACCCACCCTCCATCCCTGGCTGCTGCTCCTCATCCATGGATGCTCAAGTGAAACACAGCATTACAACCACGAGTCAGTGTGGTCCTGTCATAGCTCTCGTTATCTCCCTACATCCCCCTCCTCCTGCAGAAAGGTCAACTTACTTCATTGTCCTGGAACTGACTCAAGGCCCAGACAGCTCCCAGATGCCAACAAGAACGCCCTCTGTCTGGCAGACTCTCCACAATCTGCTCGATGGTGACTGTCCCCTTTTCTGTCGGAGGAGGGCAGCGCATTGTCGGTGGGGCATTGGGAATCCAGGAGCACCAGTCATACTGCACAAGGCAAGAAAGCACAGTGAAAAGCTACAGTGGTAGGTATTCAGGAACGCTTCAAAGGAAATGATGAAATTTGGCACTGGGGAGTCTGTTTCTGTAATAGGAGTTCCTCAGAATGAGAAGATACTAACAAAACTGAAGGACAGACAGACGCTCTTGTGAAGCACTGAAGGAAAGTCCCTACTATCTTTCCCAGAAGAATCTCACAAGGGAGAGAGTGGGGTCACCTCCCCAGGAGCAGTTATTCTGCTGACCACAGGCCCAGATTCACTGGTCAGACAAAGAATTTAGCTATTCTAATAAACAAAGATCTCTTCAAAGTTTGAGGTCATCTTTGATAAAACCACTAAAACGGGTAAAATTTCCTTTTCTCCAATTGCTCTATTCTGCAAAACCTGCTCTAAGAACATGCCCTCAGTGCTGTGGTAAACAAGCTTGCAGTTTTTATTGCGTTTGGAGGATATGTTTGCTGTTCTCCAGTCATATTGCATCATTTTTAAATCATCAGATTTGGTGATATTCTGTTATCGGGGTTGTGATTCCCTATGCCAGATCTCTAAGCTTGCACGTGCACTTTTTGCTGAGCATTGTCAAAGGCCTCTATGGCTCTGATACCCCAACAGGCACCCACCAGTGCAAGCCATGGCAACCTGCTAGCATTTCCTTGCCAGGCTGCTGGGTAAAAGTGGTAGGAGAGGCAGCTGATGGCAAATATGCCATGTACATGTGGCTGTGGTTAGCACCGGACTGGGAACACAGAGATATAGTGGAGGTCCTGTCCCTGCAGACATCCAAGGTCAGGCTGGATGGGGCTCTGAGCACCTTATTGAGCTGTAGGTGTCCCTGTTTATTGCAGGGGAGTTGGACTGGATGGTCTCTAAGGGTCCCTTCCAATTACAACAATTCTAACTCAGAATCACTTCTGGGATACCTCAGTGCTGCAGGATGGTGATACCTCATCTTGCCTCAGTTACCATCCTGAGTTTTGCCACCATCTGAAATGCTGCAATTACCATTAACCTTCCTTTTCAAAGTAGTTTTTCTTTATATATGTTCGCCTATCCTGCCTGATGGATACCTACTAGACACCACAGAGGATCGGGAGCCCGTCCTACTGGCTTTAATACAATTTCACCTTGTAGCAGCTTATCTATGCCACCTCAGAAAGCAGAAGTACAACTCCCACAGACATGTGTAAGGCAATTTTCAACTTTGGTAAATGCTCCAGCAGGCCAGCTAGATTGCTGTACTGCTGGGACTGAACAGCTGAAACACCCAGCTGAGCCAACTCAAAGACAGACAGCGTATACAGCTACATGTGCTGCAGTCATAGCATCGAGCTGTATATGTTCCCTAAGCCACATCTGCAGATGGGATATATGTTGCTTTGGCACAAACATACTGCCAGATTTGCACAGCTTACATCAGCAGTTCTTGGTAATCACTCATGTACCCATTTGCAGCAAATACAAAGCAAAGCCTCTTAGCATAACTCATTGCATTTTGTTACAGAATGAGCCACAGACTACCAGCATGTATTCAGACAGTTCAGGTGATGTCTGGGAGCCATGGGGCTGTGGTATCCAGACTGTGTACCTGATCCCCTCAGCATTTCCAAAATGGATTTAGTAACCCGTTTAAATGCTTTAAAACAGAATTTTTCCCCATGACAAAATGAATGAAACCAAAATATACAAGGTATAACTCCCAAACCCGAGTTTCAGTACCTATCTAGTACTCAAAATTATTCCAAATATTTCCAAAATCAGTGTTTCCACAGTCCTCATGGGGATTTGCAGACGACACTGCAGTTCAGCCAGAAAGAGCAATGTAATGTCTGCTTATCTATCCAACAGCATTTCTCAGACCGTGCCCTGGTAGGTGCATCTCCCAGCCCAAAAGGATGAACAGTCTTCCCAGAAGTTCCTACCTGGCCAAAATTCACAGCTGCGTGCTGGGCTGATGTGGTGAATATTATCACTGTGAGATATTCTGCTAGTTTCTCCCGTGTCTTGATCACCTTAGGAAACCCTGAATGAGGGAGAAGAAAAGAATAAGTAGCCCAGCCATGAAACAACACAGTTACCCAGTAGTCATTGGTTGAAGGTGTGAATAGGAGGACCATGCAAAAGCCAAAGAGCAGGACATTCTCCTTCCAACTCTGTTACTGGTTCTACCATGTGCTCTAACAGCAGTTAATCAAGCTCTGTATCTTGGCTGGACAGCCATAAAAGCAGAGTGATCCTGCCTTCACCTCATACAGATTTGTGAGGCATCCTCATTGTCTGCAAAAAGCAGGTGGCGTTCCTTAGGAGAAAGGCAAAGCATAATTATACCTTTAAAATATATGGCATCTCTGTCCTCACACCTACCCTGTGGCAAGGAACCCAGAGAGTCCCTTTTTCTTCCTTCTGCAATGCAAGCAGAGAAATTTCACGCCAAAGAGCAAATGGCTGTCTGCTTGTATTTATAAATGTCTGAGGCTCAGCAATCAAGTGCGCTGTGGGAACAAGTGCGGGGAGAACTTATATGCTGAAACAATAAGTGAGGAAATGAGAACTTCTGAAACAAAAACAGCAGAATGAGGAACAGAAATAGTTGAATCAAGCAGTCTTTGAGGAGGAGTAATCAAACAGAGCTATTTAAAGAAAGAACAGAATAATCAGGGATAGGGGAAATATTTTGTCACCGAAGCACATTTGAGCCTGCATCTTTCCTGCCCCAACATTAATCCTACCCTGTCCCTGTCCCATCCCAGCACGATGACAGGTCCCATGATAACTAGAGATCTGACAGCTCCTTGGGGTGAGCTGTCTCTGAGCCAGCTGCTGCCATGTCTGAACCATGAACCTGCTGCAGATGCAAATTCAACCTGGCAGGGGCAAGAAAACATGGTAGCTCTGGTCAGGTACCAAGCCCAAAGAGGAGAGGATGCACACCCATTCCTGCACCCTCCTGTCCTCAGCGCACTGTGCTCATCTCGTAAAGGATCTCAGCATACTCATGGTCAGAGCAGTGCTACCACGGCAGGAGTGGAGGCCAGCTGTCCCCCACTTGTGCCCTTCCTATTCTTTACAGACCCAGGTCGTCCTACTTGCTCTGCCTCAGCCCTTGTGGTGGCAGCAGTGCAGAAAGGTGATGCTGCAGGCTGGGCAGGTTTTCAGCCCATAGGGGCAGTCCATAAAACTGAGTCTGTGCGCCAAGAAGGGAGGGGGTCACCAACAGTTCAAGATGTACAGTGCACACAGCCTTGCCATCACTAGAGATCTGGGAAGCTGCAGATCTGGCCAGGCCATCGTACCTTACCTGAGGCCTTCACGCCCCTCATCCCATACATGTAAATGTCTTTGACAAAGGCCTGGAGTTCCACATCCTCACACACCACCTCATCGCTCTCGTAGTAGATTTGAATCACATCCTCTGCAAAACTGCAGACAGAGGAACAAATGAAAAAAAAAAAAAAAACAACAACAAAAAAGCAGAAAGAAATCCTACTGAAGACCTTATGCTGAGCTTACAGAGAGGATACACCTTGCGAGGAAGAGTGGGGCCAAGAGCAGAGCTCAACACCCTCCATCAAGTGGTGGGAATCCAATTATTTCTAACTACAGTATCACTGCTCCACCATCAGAAATATGTTGGACCGCAGTCATAGAAACATAGAATATCCCAAGTTGGAAGGGACCTAAAAGGACAGGCTGGGGATAGAAGTCATTTCATCAAGGAGCAGATACTGACACCCCTTCAGAGAAAAGTAGGCTGTGGTTACACGCATGTGAGTGGGCTCAGGTGTGAGAACAGCCAGTGCTCAGAAGGTCACTGCTCACACTATTTATAAACTAGGTACTTACAGTGAATCTCTCAGCCAAGTCTGAGGCTGTGTAATATCCTCCTCCAGCTAACACTGACAAAGAGCTAAACTAAATTGAGTTTACTATCTGGTATTTGAAAAGATATCCTATCTCAATTAGCACAAGAAAGAATAGGAAAGAAAACAAGGGCAGGAACAAGCACACGGGCAGGGAAACTATATCAAGAAACCACAGAAAAGTAAAAATTTCCTTTTCTCTCAAATGGGCACTAACAATTGTAGGAAATGTGGAAAGATATTCCCTGTGCTGAAATCACAGGAGGCAAAGATATAAACAACATTCTAAACATTAGTCTTGTGTTATAAACACCCAAGAGTGAAGAGCTTCACTCTTGCAAGACCTCTCCAGGGACAAACTTGCTGCCCTTCTTCAAAATCTGGTCCTTGCAATTTTAAGGCACTTGAAGAAAGGTTTGGTTCAAATCAGTTAGTGCTTCAGCTTCCTGGGCTTCAAAACACAGCTCTCTCATGTGAACCACATTTAACATTTCTGCTTCCACAAGAAACCCAATGAGCTCACATGGGTTGCTCAGGCTGCTGCATTCTTTCTCAGTTTGTGCATAGCTTAAAAAGCTAATTAAATTCCCTTTGCAGGGCTAAATTCATAGAATCGTTTGAGTTGAAAGGGCCCATTAAAGGTCTGGACCAACTCCCCTGCATTGAACATTGAGGGAATTGAGGGACAATTACAGTGAAATCCTACAGATGAATACAAACTTATACAGGGGCTTCTGAAATGTAGAATGCAAGAATATAGGCCTGTAAAGGGCAGGAATCAAACATCTCTGACTAGGAAACTGAGCAGGAGCTGAGAGTTCGTAACTGTTCTTCAAGATGGGTTCACAACACTCTCCTTCACCCATGTGATGGCATTCATTCCCTGTGCTAGGACAGGATCATTTCAATCTATAACACTTGAGGAAATTATTTCTTTAAATGGTAGCCCCCATTGAACCACAGGACTCCACTGGCTCTCAAAATGATCTGTTCTATCTATCTAATGGTAATTTGACTATAGTCTACCCCAAAACTTTCTTACTGTAATTTTAGCCTTCAATTTCTTGAAGTCCCAAGCTGTATTCACAAGAATGTGATGTAGAGCAGAGACAAAATGAAGAGGTATCTCTGGGACAAAGACTTTAGTGCCCCTTTCCAGGACTACAGCCTTTTACCTCTTTATTGCCTCCCAAACTCTAATGCCATCATCTCGGTAATAGTAGTAGGGGATATCCTCTTTGCTGTCCATCCCCTTAGCTTTGATATCTTCAGGGAAGCAGAGTGAGCTGTAAGTCAGATCCTTCATTGCTTTCTGAACCATTTGCACGTGTCCTCCTCCACCTGTGGCATTTGCCTGCAGGAACAACAGCAAGATATGAGCAGTGGGAGATAAATTAGGCTCACTTTGTGCCAAGGCTGGTTGTCCAAATTTCCAGGAGATGTGTTATTACAAGTAGAAGAAAGTGCATCTCCACACAAATAAGTACCAAACTGCAGAGGTCTACTGCAGTTCTGCATTTTGACCTCACAGTTTTCACATCTTTTCCACAAACCACATATAACAGATAACAGATCCATTTTCTCCACAGGCACATCTAATGTATCACCTTAAAATAATATAATGAAACAGTAATAAAGTATAGAAGTACTGAACCCAGAGCATTTTCTGCCAGCTCCATGCTCCAGAATGAGTGCATGTGTGAAGGAAGGCAGCCAGGAGCATGTCAGACCAGAGCTTTTGCTAAATCACCAAGTGCTGCTGCAGAGTGGTTTAGGATTAATGGCAGGTGGCGGTTAGGATTGGAGGCTACACTTAGGCACCCTGAGATTTAAGCCAGGACAACAATCCTGCTGGATGTTTGAGTGGGAAAATACAGCATGTTCACAACAAACAACACTGCAAAATCCTTCATATAATCACTGCTCAGAAGCTCCCAAATTTTTCTTTGTGGTGTTAGCAGTGTAGCAGTATGCAGCTTACACTTACTCTCTTCTGTCTGGCTGTACATTTATACTGAAACCAACAATTCTGGAGCTTCATGATCCTCATTAGCAGGTCTTAGCAGCACACTCAACCCACATGCATGGGGTACAGATGCTGTCCTTCCACTCAGTTGATGTCAGGAGTGTCTGCCAAGCCTCCACAGTTAGCAGAGGAGGACAGAAGACAAGGAAAGAATCTGCAATTAACTTCTTTTTCTATGTAGGCAGAAAAACTTTGGAGCACGGAAGTTTTTTGTTTTTTTTTTCCCTGGTGCCAGAGGTATATCAGGAACTTGTCCTGGTTGCAGCTAGCATATTTCCACAGAGAGGGCTGCTTGCCAACCTATTGCGGTTCTTAGATGTGGCATGCTGTTTCTGGGGTAGCAAGGAGATGAAGAGCTGTTATCACAGTAAACACTATTACAGTTGGGTTTAGATGTTTGTATATCATACAGCTCTGAACTGGTTACTTAGAGGTGAAAGATACCATCTTCAGCACGACAGGAAGTGAATTAACTGAAGGCATCATTTCTGTGTCTCAGGCAATGCTGTTTATGTTTGTGCTTTAGCAGAAAGTCAAGAAATAACACAGTATGTGATGGATAAAGAATTAAAACACATAGGGACCCATGAAAAATAACAAGATTTGCAAAGGGAATTACTTACCTTGTCAAAAAGGCCACATTCACAGATGAGCTGTTCTCGAGCTTTGGTGTTGATGGCTATTGTGAATCGCATGTGTGGCACCAACAGCTGTGAAATATGACAAACAATGGTAGAGGACAAATTCTTTGATTGAATTCAACTGTGTGTAGAGTTTGAAGTCCTCAGTGAGAGCAGCTAGCTCTACACTGCCTTCCCAGGCAGCTGGTCAAACCATCCCAGTCGAGCTACCACCAGGATGTACTTTTGATTTGTCAAGCCAAAAAGAAAACCTTACTGACACCCCCAGAACCTCTTCACAGAAAGACCAACCTTGAAGAGGGGATGTACAGCAGGCAGCTGCCGGAACATGGCAATGCTGAACACCTCTGAGACAAGGTGTGTCCTTAAGAGATGGGTCACTGTCTGGTGGATGTGGAAATCAGATGAGCGAACCCAAATTTTGGCCAGCAGCCAGTCATAGGTGGCATCTGAAGGAAGGAAAATGGGATTTTCTGGCCCAGGCTTTTGACCAAGCTGAAAGAGATGAAAACAGTACAATCCCCAAGTTCATGTGCATTTATGATGAGACAATAAGCAATGTGACCCTTTATACACTCTGACAGCAAGCTCACCTGGATTGCAATGGGTACTATTTTATTCTCCAGATTCTTGTACAGCAAACAGATGGGTGCAGCCAAGTACTGTATTGTACATGGGTCTGTCTTATTGGCATCCACGCCATCCAGCAGTTCATAGTCCACAATGAAAATGTTTCCTTGCTGGTAAAAAAGTGAAAAGGATTTGGTGTGTTTTAACAGAAAGAGGGAGAAATGAAAGAACACAGCAAACTGTTCCTGGTGGGAAGGACAGAAAAAGGACAGGGCAGCAGCTGAAAGGTAGATGAGAGAGGAAGAAGACAGCACTGAGAGAGGTTAAGAAAGAAAAGCAGAAAGGCGCAAACAGTGAGGCTCAGAACTAAGGCTGGGGAGTCTGGGCCAGGGGCTGGTTTATGCCCTGCAGTTACAGGTAGCTGCTAGCCCACCTTTGCTCATGGAGGTTCAGGAGTGATGTTTGCTATTGGGACAGCAAGCACCTCTACACAAGCTACCTGACTTGTGTCTGCTGACCCTGACAGCAAACCTCTCAGCAGAGAGCGACTATGTATTTGGCATTCATGCAGTGACACTGAGGTGCAAACAAGTTTCACATTATTCCACACCCCATGCTCATTGTACAGACAAAAGGAATGTACCATCCGCCTAGTCCTTCTTCAGCATTTTAGTTCAGCTTTGTGGGTGACCCTCCTGGGAAAGGGTAGGATGCTTCACGCTTCTGACACTCCCTATCCTTTGAGATGAAAGCACTGTGAAGGACCCTTCACCTCCTGGTGGCATCCTTTTAACTGGACCTGGAAAAGGGCCTGGCCTGCAGCTGGAGTGTGGAGATGTGGCTGAAATGTAGCTAGAACAGGGAGTGGAGGTCAGAGAACACAAGGAAGAGCAGATGGAGTCCAACCTCACCCCAAGCCCTACCTTCACTTCTTCCTCCAGGGTCAAGTTCCTCTCTAGGCTGCATTCTACCATATCACTGGTCACTGGCAATTTCTTGGGAATCTCTGTGCATCGCCGTATCAGCACAGGATTGCAGCCATTCAGGAACTGGTAGCCAAACATAAAATCTTCTTTCCAGTGCTGCATCACATATTCTAAAGGAAAACAAGTCAGCAGCATCAATATCACTGTATTTCAGATTCCTTTATTTATCCCCCACTCCTTTTGTTACACTGCACTGAAACATTCAACTTCTATGAAAAATATGCTCTCCATCTGCAGACCACCTCCTTATGTCTTCCATGATATTCTTCAATCTTAGTATCCAAATTCTTGGGGTTTGTTACACAGACAGATAAGCCCCAAAACAATGGCACTGGCAGGGAAAGGAAAATACCCAAGGGGGAAGGGAAAAAACAGCAGTGACTGAAGCTGGATGAGAGGTACCTGGGGAATGATGTTGACTTTGGGCTTCTCACTAACATTGCTCATTGGCTGGGTTGTTTTGTTTTTTTTTTTTCCCCTGCTTATTTTTCAATTGTTAATACAAAGCAGATTAATAACTCTTTTGAATAAAACAATAGTGTTGGAGATACTACATCTTTAGTAGTACTGTGTGCTTTCCACACTGCAGTTGTCTGCTTCTTAATGTCATTATGGTCACTTCCAACTACAAGCTGAGTGTCAGAAAACACATGATTAAAAACAAAATCCCACTGATGCTGACAGGGAAGCTGCATGACTGAAAAACGTGAACTTGCTTCTGCCAAGTCTTGCCAATAATCAGACTGGGAGGTGGTCTCACAGCTGAGATCCATTCTTATAGTTTAAAACTCACAGAATTGGAGCTTTCCTCATGGGCATGGAAATATTATCAATGAAATTAAATGTAGATTATATCTAATCCTTGTACTTTAGGAAGAAATCTTATTAAACTTAACAAATTGATGTAATTAGTTTTTAATAGCTCCAGCCTCCTTATGTGCTTTACTTTATACTTGAAATCATAGAAGTGCCTCCTATTTCTGTTAATTGGTCCTTTATTCAGCCTGAAGAGGGGAAAAACTTCAGAACAGGAAGGAAAAGCATGTTCCTTTGCAGAGCCAGAATGAGTAAATCTACACATGCTGTAGGAGCTACATGCTAACTGAATAATAGCATCTGTGTATCTATTATATCCATTACTACAGTAAAATAATATCAAATAGTACAACTGCAGGCTGTAGTAGAAGGCTAGGTCTGGCTCACAAATCAAAGGCTTCCCAGCCCCACTTTACAGAAATGACTCCATCACCCCATCTCCATCTGCAACTCTTTTACCTGGCTTTCAAATAACTACTAAGATTTCACACACAAAAAAAATTAAGGAAATAAGAATTTTGTCTTTGTCTTTTAATACTACGTGAGTGGAATTTTTATCAGTACAAAGGATTTTTCAGATACTTATATTTGAAAGCAAAAAAGTAAACACAGACTCTTACAGATATATATCTATTCCTGGTAAGATGTGAGCACGGAATGGTAAACATGTCACCATATTTACTATAGTGTGCATAATAAATTCCAACATGTTTTTGGAAAGAGATGACATTTGGGATAGATGCTGTGAGACCTTTCAAGCACTAACTTGCACTCATTCCCAGCAGGAATTACAGTTCCTCTGGTTCTGGTCAGACGGACTATTTTGTGCACCAGGACCAGGTGAAGAAGTTACAGCTCCCAGCTCATTCTCTGCCCTTTGCAACATGCCCCCAGACTTACTGGCTTGACAGCTTGCAAGTTTTGTCAAAACGACTCATTGGAACAACTTGTGAAACCAAAAAGATCCAAGCCACGGGCAGACAGTTGGAAGTGGAAGGTCTTTAAGGTCCCTTCCATTCCAAGCCATTCTATGTTTCTATCATAACTTTGCTTGGTAGTCCTGTGGGTTGTTGTACGATCAGCAGTCTAAGATTACTTGCTGTTTATGGTAAATGATGTTCAAGCAGAAGTGTAGGTCAGCCTCTTCCTTCCTAATCAGATATATTCAAGACAGAAAATCGATCATTTGATGATGAAAATGTGAGAAAATGCTGACAAACTCACCAGAGATTGTGTTACTGATTCTCACAAAGATCTTCTCAAAATCTGCAAAGTCACTCCAAGAAGACTGGAACATGTGCATAAAACGGTTGATATAGAGATTCTCCATCCTAAAAACAAAGCCTTACACTGTGATATAAATGGTAGCTTTGTTGTTATTAAATAGAAAACATTTATTTTGATTACATGTCAGTGGATTTAGAATCAGGTTTTCTTTCCACTAGCATCTTCAAATGTGCAAAGAAGAAGACATGCACTGCACGAAGATGGGGAGAACAGTTAAGAGAGCAAAGAAAGACCACAGTGTTGCAGCAAATCCTCCTGGGGGAGGGGAAGGGGGAGAATTCTATGCAGATGTAGATGAAGATGCAGTTGTAAATTATAAACTAAGACTGAGAAACCTTAAAATGAACTGGATTGGAAGTGGTCAAAGAGGACAAGAAGCCCGCAAAGACAGCAAGTGGCATTGTGAAAGAGGATTCCCATCAGCATAACCAGAAAATCAGACAAGGGACATGTAGAAAGGCTGCTTCTGCTGCTACAGATACCAGTCAAGATAAGAAGAGGTGCCTGGAGGCACGTTAGGAAGCATCTTGTGCAATTATCTAGCTTTGGCCTGGAAGCAACCTCTTTGGAGATCTCATCACCCCTGACAGGAGCACAGAAGGAGCTCTGAATGGCCTTTCCTGAATATCAGGAGATGGAAGGAGTATTGGGCAGGACTTCCTGGACAGACGGTAAGTATCTAAATATCAGATGAACTTCTAAAAGAAGCATGACCACATAGATTTTCAGCCATGTCAGGTCACTAAATGGACTCAGATAAGAAAGTATTCACTGTTATTAGGAATGGCTGTAAAACCTGCTAGTTCTCTTATCAACCTATGTTTGACGATATAATCCCCATCTGATCACTGAAACACTGAGAGGTGTATCATTCCAAAATATGGAGGGACCAGCATGTTATCAGAGTCACAGATGTAGGAACTGTGGATGATCTCAAAGCAGCCTTGCCTCACCTTGCCTTTTTTCCCACCATTTGATAAAGTATGACATGGCTCAGGCTTGTGAGACAGCTCAGAAGCAGACTCACAGTGCAGAGATTTCCTGTTCTGCCATTAACTTCGTACTATCCTGCTGGGCAGGATTTTTCAGGCTCACCAATGGCCAGGATTGTTTTTTCAGTGACATGACAAGTTCAGGTGTGATAGTGACTTTGATGCCTGGAGCGGATTACTCTCAGATGTGGTCAAGTGATGAATTTAGCCTACATCTGATGGGAATAGCTTTTCTTCAGCGGAGTCTCAAAGGTGCATTGACACCACCTTTTGGTACCTGATTGAAAGGCCTAATTTTCTCAAATAGCCAGAGGAGAGAAGCATCTTCAGGGGGCATCACTGAGCAAAGCCAGATGCCTAAGGCAGTAGGTGTCAATAACTCCTTCGCATGCTTTTCAGAAGTCTTTCCTCATTCTGCCTACAGCCAAACAGTGTCTAATGAGAATGCAGAGGAGCAGCAAGTTCCAAGAGTAAAGAGCTCAAAACATCAATTAAAACACAAAAAAAGATGTTTTTTTCCTGTTCTTTTTTTTGTTTTTGTTTTTGTTTTTTGTTTTGTTTTGTTTTGTTTTTCCTGCTTTGTTTAACCACAGGTGCAGATGGGAGAAAAGAATCCAATTCTGAGATTCAGTGAAACCTACAACATGGTCACATCCTTACTCTGCACAAAAAAAGTTTTTGCAAAATGCCTGAAGCACCACAAACACTCACGCTTTGGAGTAGTTCAGAATGAAGTCGATTCCTTTCTCGTTGTCAAACTGGATGTCACGGGGCAGCTCACTGTGACAATGGGCATCAATGCTCAATGGAAAGCCAGGATGCCACTCCTTCCAGCTGAGAAAAGAGAAGTTGGATTAACCATATCTGTTCACCAGCACAAGAGCTCCATCACTCTATTACCTATGCTGCTGCTGTGACTCAGCCATAAAGAAAACTTGCATCACTTGGGACCCACAGGACTCACTTGGGACAAAAATACTGACTTATACTACAGTATATTACCTACCAGTAACCCACAGAAACATGAAGTAGAACAGAAGGCATCTACTTGACCAACTACCATCACAAAACTTGACATATCTTAATACCTGCAATATTTCCAAATGCCTGTCACAATCGGTTAGAATTGGCAGTAACTACAAATTCACTGGAAAGTGAAATGGGCAGAAAGACAGCTGTACAATGCACACTGTTTGGTCACATCAACCTCATTCTTGAGGCTACAGTTTTGCAGAACTAAAACACAGCCATAACTGGGTGAAAAAAACAGCCTGAGATTTGGAGTAAGCAGCAATGTGATATCATTTTGTTCATCATATTTGTGCAACGGACAGAGAGAGGAACACAGGTTTTGTAAGTGACTTGCACCCTTTCACGAGTTCTGCTGTACAAAGGCATGCTCAGACAGCCACCACCCTAAGGTAAGAATGCTCTACCCAATTGGCACTGCAGAAGTCACTGGGCAGGAAAACCATCTGTCTCACATTTGCAAAAAATACTGTGAAATTACTAGCAGCTCGAAGTGTCAGGCATGTGTCTCATTTCCTCCAAAAGGCAATGCTACCAGACGTGCATGCAGCCTGGGCTCAGCTCCTGAGCTTGCCTCCTGATGGCCATGGTACTAGACCTCTGCTGTGTATGATGTCCTACTATACCCTGTTTTTACCTCAAAAGAAAAGAAGACGATTTGTAACGGGGAATATTTCAGCAGTGTTTCCAAATTGTCTGCCGCACACAGACTGCATTGTGCACTATCAGTTAAACATCTGAATTGCAAATTGCTATTTTCCTGGAATTACCAATGGTTTTGCCTTCCTTTTTGCATGTGTAAACAAGATTTTGTGCCACCTATCTTTTTTATCTAGATTTTCCTCTGCTGCTTCCCATTGTTTGTGATCAAGATCCTTTCTTAGTCAAATCATATCAACAACACATATGCCAAACCTCAATCTGTCAGTTCTGAATGAAACCTCTGTTATTTTCATGCTCTTTCTCCTGATAAGAAGAGGGAAATAAGATAAACTTTCCTTCTTTTAACAGAAAGTATGTTCCTATAAAAAGGAAACATATGACATCTTCTGGAATTACCCACTGATAAAAGATTTTCCTGTTGTGACCTTCTCTTATTTAGAAAAAAGCTTATAACTCTATAGAGATAGATAACACCACTGTGTTTTGATGGTACATTCCAGTCTGCTCAGCAAGGTCAGATCTTCCACTGCACCCTGGTTCAAGAAGTGACTAAAACTCACTAGAGCAGCCACAAAGCTCCAGATAAGATGACGTGTTGATGTCACTCTCCAAAACTGGAGTCCTGCTTGCAAAAGACAAGAAAATCTATTTTTATCTTTTCTTGAAAGCACAGCTGTAGACCAGAGGGCTCATATAGAGACTGTACCACTGAATTTCACCTTACATCTTCTAGATAGACTTATCTGGGATTCAAGTATCTTGTAATGCAGCCACGTGCAGCAGGATGACCATCGTTTACAATGAACCCCATCTAAGTAAAAAAGCACATATAGCCAACGTGCAAACTTTCAGTTGTTTTACCAGCAGTTGAGTATTTAGAGCAATATGGTTATCTGAACATGCTCTGCCAACCCTTGACCCGAGGACAACAGGCCCTGGACTTTTGGGGAGCTGTGAGGGACTCACCGGTACATTTTCTGACGATCCTCAAGCTCTTTGCGTCTGTGCTGCTTGAGTATCTGGGTCTTGTCATCCCGGGGGAGCTTTGCTATGTATGGGAGAAAGAAAGAAACAGGGTTATCAGGTTCCTTTATCATCACCCAGGTCTTGAGAAGGAAACCGGTGTTTCAAAGCCTTCCAACTTCTGTCCTAAACTTTTACAAAATTTCTGTGGGAAAAGCTCACACAATCCAGTTTAGTACCTTCAGCTCCTAATGTGATGCCTAAATTGGTTAAGCTAAGAGCAACTATCTCATCTCTATAGAAAACCTGAGTTCCTAAGGTAGATACTTGGTTTAGATAGCCTCAGTAGGGTCGTGGGACTTCATTTCATATTTCAGCATCTGGAAGAATTTTCATCAATCAAAGAAATAATAATATTGCCTTGGACAATGTTGTAAGTTAAACTACAACACTAGGAAATTTCTCCCATCCTCTTTCCTTGAGCTGTACTCTCCCCTGCCAGCCTGAGGCAATAAGCACATTTTCCTGCCATGAGAACAGAAAGAAAACCCAGTGAGGCTTCAATTCCAGACAACTTGCATTTCTGACCATTGTACACACCATACTGCTAAATAACAGAGACTTCCTTAGTGATGAAGAGAAAGCACAAGGTACATGACTTGCTTTACATAGGCAAATGGAAAGGCAGATAAAGCCAGCAGGAATTTTATGGGAATAGCTATTTTGGGTTGGAAATACTGGAGGTAATACAACCAATAATATATACATACATATATATATATATGTATATATATATACTGCTAACAGTTTCCAGCTGGCTGTGTTTACGGTACCAACAGGGTTTCACTTGCTTTTTTCCTTTATCTGACCATATTCTGAATGCCGTGCAAAGGTCATGGAAGTCTGGGATGCACACAGGGAAAGGGGAAGGAAAGGTGGGAGAATTCTGGCTGCTGCACAGGATGTTTCTCATGGTGCTCACCTCTTCCATCTCGAAGGACAACTTCTTTCTCATCTGTAATCCAACGGTAACATGGGAATTCCAGATAATCGCCCAGTGGTGTTTTGACAGTGACGTGCTTCAGGTACCAGTCATCTTGGTACCAATATTTTCGTTTCTCAATTTTTATTAGCTGAATTTCTCCAAGGTCTTCTTCCACCGTCACGTCATAGGAGTCAACCTACAGAGCAGAAATAGTCAGTGATACACTGCACATGTGGAAAGCAAAGCCAGGACTGTACAAGCACACCTGGCCTTCCTTGTGGCCAGTATGGCATGGCAGCAACAGTACTTTCCTGGTTCCAGTGAGGGAGAAGGACAAGGACAAGGGGAAGGATAAGGTCATAAGTGGATTATAGGTTTGCAGTAGAAATGAAAGGTGAATGAAATAAATAAGACCATGTAAAGCACACCAAAAGTGGGGAAACATTTTGCATCTAATCCAAAGATAGTAACACCCCTTGAAATGTTTGCAAGTCTGAGAAAAATCTGCAGACCATGATAGCTTTTGCTACTGCAATAGGCCATAAATGGGTGTAGATTCAGCAAACCTATTCACACTGCTGCACCGGAAGGATAATCATAGGTTAACGCACTGGATGGTGAACTCTTGACTCAATGACGGATATGTCAGCCCCCTCACAAGGCTGGGGCTAACCTTTGTGCCACCTGTGTGATCTCCTGCTGCATGCAGGAACAGCACTGAGCACACTGTAGTTTTGGTGGTAATTGCACTACTAGGTAATATCAGAACAGAAAGAAATGAATAATCATTTTGCACAGGGCCAGTAAGGCTATGTGTACTGCTAAGCAACTCAGGAGAATGGAAGCCACAGCCTGCCTGCTCAGATGACCCTGCTCAGCATAAGGTGTTTACAAGAAGAGACTGTATTCTCTTGTGGTTTTTCTCAGCACAAACAACCTTAGAAATACTAACTAGCTGCTGATACTCAAAGGGTGAGATTCACTTCCACTATATGCTGTATATATCCACTATATGCTTCAGTGTCTGCGGGACCCTTTCTACAAGCTATGCATGAATTACTGTGATGATCATTTTAGGATGAAAGCATCTGTATGTCCACCAAAGTTTGAGATGACAGACCTCAGTTCTCTCATACTCCACCACCTGAAACTACCACCTTTCATGGCTCATCTAATTGACTCATACAAGTGAGAGAAAAAAGAAAAAAGAAACAAAGAAAAGCTTTGAAATCCATGCTACAGATAACAAAACCTTGCCTTTGCCCATCTTTCCCCATGATGTTCGTCAATCAACTTTGAAACTGTTCAGGCTATGATTGATAAACTGCATCTCCGATGAGGCTGCTTCATATCAACAAAGACAGAGAGATTTCTTCTAATGTTCACCCTAACTTCACTTAAAGTCAAATATTTAAAATCAATCTTGGCGTCACTTACTTTGATTCAGAGACTTAACAGACTAATCTCAGTCAGAGCCATATTCTTTCCTACACACTTTCCTACTAAAGCCAAAGCCATTGAACATTTTCTATCAGATAGGAGACTCATCCAGTCTTAAAACAGAATTTGCAATCTTGATGTCAGCAGCATACCTATCCATACAAGGTGGTAGCACATGAAGGAACTGTGCTTCACCAAACAGCATGGCTGTTCTTGGCAAGCCTGGCATGACAGCATCTGCCTGACAGGCAGGAGCTGGGAGATAAAAATCGCATAGTTGAGATTTCAACTGACATATTAAAATGGTGTCTCTGACTTTTCCTTGCATATCCAAGCAGAACAGAAGTAGTTTTTTTGGTAGAGCCAATATATACATTCATTTTGAGAGTTTACGCTGCTGAATCTTCAGCCCCCACCCCCTTCACTCACACTGTCCCAGAACAGCTAGAAGGATGATGTACACACGTAAATTCATTCCCTTGGTGTTTTAAAAGTTTGAATCAGCTCTGGAGACTGAAAAAACACTGACTGGCTTTTCAAAGAGCTCACCACAGTAGTGCTGTGAGCCTCCACTATGTGAGTGACTATAAGATGTAATCTGTGATCTTGCCCAACATGCCTGACTATATTTTAAAATTTCTCTTCTTCAAATATTCAGCTAGCTTCCATTAAAAATAAAAATCCTCATTTACACATAACTACTTATATTGTTTCTGTAATTTACAAAACCTTACTTTACACAAACTTACATAAATATATCTAGGATTTGATGCAATGAAGGTGCAGTAAAGGTGTGGCAAGCTGTGCAGACGGTGCAAGGTTCAAAGAAGCAGGTTATTTTATTTTGTTGCTCAATGGTTTTGTTTCATTTGTGTTATGAGGTACCCTGTTAAACTACATTGCACCGCAGTGTCTGCGCAGTAAACCATAGGAGCTGGGAGTTTTTAAACAATTGGCTTCAGGGAGAGAGAACAGAGTGAATGAAGGCCGTAAGACTGTCCAAAGTCCCTTAGCATCCCGTCTGAGCGATTTACCCTTCTGCAAAATCGCAAGCTCTTTCTGGCAGAGAAGCACCTCCTGCTGACAAGCCTAGTGCTGCAAAAGAAGCAACAAACCAGCACACTGCACACACAAAGCCCAAAGCCACACACAACTGTTTTCCTTCTGGAAATACTGCTGAGTGCGTTTCAGCAAAAAGCAGATGGAAGGGTAACAGGAAGCAGACAGAGAACTGGGGGACACCACGCACTCACATTGAAATTGCTTTGCACCAACAGGAACTTACTCAAAAGATAGTGAGTGAAGAAAAGCAGCTCCAGCTTTCTAAACTGCCCATGTCCAGTGCTTGGAGTAAGTCAGACTGAAACTAAAAGTACACTGCCATTATGAAAGCTCCTTCTGGTTTTCCCACATCCCTTCCCTTCTATCAACATTTGGCACGCAGATCTGCTCAGAGCTGGTTGGAGACCTCATCCAGCATATCTATAAAAACTCACTGTTTGCATTAATTCAGATGAAGCCATTCTCAGGATAATGGCACTACTGAGACTGGCCCACCGTTTAGTAAAGAAACTGGAAAGTGATAAAGCTTTACAAGATAGTACTCTGGAATTCTGGTTATCAGTGAAAAAAAATTCTTTATTATTATTGTTATTTTTCAAATGTGATCACATAGTAATTATTTGGAAGAAAAAGAAAATTGTAGGGATGTTACCGAAATGCCAGAGGCAGAACTGGCTTCAACTGTCACATTTTACAAAGCGACCAACCTGAAAGTCTTACAGCGTGCTTCAGTATTGTTTGCTGGTTTACTTTTTGTTCCATATCACTACTTTTCTTCTCTTTCCTTCTTTGCAAGGTATATGAGTGAGACTCATGGTGTTCTGGGCACAGTGTTACCTGAACAGGTGCCTGGAGGAATGCACGGCAGTGCCCAAAGAAACACTGCCTGCAGCAGCACAATGCACGTCAAGCATCCTGTAAAGCAGCCATCTTACAGAACACACTATGGGAGGACTGATATGGAAATAATTTGGATAGTAGATAAAGTCAAGAATTAGTCACCTTTTAGTGGACTTTTGCACCTGGAAAGAAGTTTGACAAAAAAGAGAAAAAAAGAGACTGTCCCTGTCTCAACTTGCTTACCTAACAATACATTTTGTATGGAATGTTGGGCAAGCTATTCATACAGGTAAAGACTTTCAAATCCGCCTAGAAGCTGCATTCCTAAGGAGTATGTGCTTCCAGGTGCACGTATTGCCTGCTGCAGGGCTGCTGTGCTACACGAAGCTTGACTCCTCCCACTTTCACCCAGAAGAGCCCAGCACTCCTGGACCCCCATTTGCAGCCTGATGATGGGAGAAGGGTGCCCAGGCACTGGAAATCTGGAGCCAAGCAGGGCCTGGTCCTCTTAGGAGCACAGCTTCAACCTGAGCATGCAGAACACCCTGAGGTTTTCTTCCATCACTCTCACTAACGTTGTCAGGCTTTGTTTATATTCTCCAGACAAAATAAGAAGAGGGGGGCTGGAGCTTGATGATCTTTAAGGTCCCTTCCAACTTAAGCTATTCTGTGATTCTACAAAGAAGGAGTGGATGCCCACTGGGGAGATCAAGGGTAACAAGATCTCTGCAATGAATGCTTACTCATGAAAGAAAGTAATTTCAACAGCAGCAACAGGGAGGAACCCACACCTCTGAAATTTCTTTTTCTGGGATGTTTATCCACACATATTTGGGGGCCATATCTGCACACATCATCAACACTAACTTAAAATGCTGTCATCTGCAAGCCATACCTGAGGTGCCCAAACAAGGAAGGATGGATAGCTGGCGCAGGCTGTGCACCCCATGGGTAAAAATGTACCTACAGGCAAGGCAGCACTGTGATGGTGGGGCCAAATTTGTATGCACAGTGGTGGGGCTCATCTCCAAAGCGAGTTCAATCATAGTATCATAGAATCAGTTAAGGGCACTTATAAAAAACTTTTCAAGTCTCTTAAATCTCCTTAGATCTCCTGGGAGCAGTGAGTAGGCTACAAATAAAATACACTTAAAAAAAAAAAATATAATCAAGAGTCCATTATTTTGAAGTCGGACAATAAACAAATGAGATTCATACTGAAGGGATGGTCAGCGTATAGGAGATGGCAGCTGGGCACAGCACAGTGCACGCAGCACTGAGCCCGAGCAGCCTCTTTGACAGCCCAGCGCCAGCCCAGCCCTGTGCCTGGTGCTGTTTTGCAGCTACCATTTAAAGCTGCGATAGAGAGCTCCGAGCCCCGGCTCGCCTGCCCCGAAGCCCACCCCCAGCCCGGCAGCAGCGGGACGGGCACTGCCGGCTGAGCCGGGGCTGTGCGGGCACTCACCGCGCCGCGCTCGAAGTCGTTGTAGAAGGGTTTGTCCAGGAGGTGCCTCTCGCTGCAGCCCGCAGTGCCCTCCAGGCTCAGGTACACATAGTCGTCGGTGCCAGCGAACCACTGGCTGCCCGTAGCCACGGTGACGGTGTAGGACGGCATGGTCCCACCGGCACGGCACGGCACGGCACGGCACGGCACGGCACGGCCGAGCCACACAGCTAAGCCTTGTCAAGCCCCCGCCGAGCACCGCCCCGCTGCCCGGCCCGGCCCTACCCACCCGCGCTGTTCCTCTTTATTACTGAATCTCTCCGATCTTGCCAGGCCCCCGCTGCCTTTGCACAGCCGCCTGTAACACAAACTGTGTGCACACACACACAGCGTTCCCACAAAGCACTGCAAGGATCCCACATTTTTACACTCCCCACCCCCAGTGCAGCGAGCGCCGAACTTGTTTTAATAAAGATGCTAACACTGAGATAACATCTGCCAGCGCTTCTCTCATGTTCAGCCTACCCCAAGGAAAAGAGCCCCAGAGCACTGATGTTGTACATATGGCACCAATGCACCAAGCCCACTGATGCCACACTCCCGTATTTTCATAAGGCACACATGCAGGCCCTATGCTGGCACCCCCTTAACTCTGTCACACTGCTGCTGCACAGCCCCAGGTGGGGAGGAGCTGGGCTGTGGCTTCTGCAGATCCCACTGCACAGCTGCAAGGTTGTTACTTGAGGCTCTGCTTCAGCCTCTAACACCTGCCCATGATGGGTTGTGGCTTGTTCAGTGTGGTCACTGGTGGTGACAGCCTGCAACATCCTCCTCTTTCTCGTAAGCATGGCAATACTCATCAGTCTCATCGGAGGTCTCCTATGTGTCTTCCTTTACAGAAACAGCTGCTTGCTATTCTGTGACACCATCAGATATCAAGGCTCCCCCCACATTCAAGATATGCATTTACGTACAGGCATATAGAAAGTGCCTTCATTGGCTCTGCAGAATTGCTCAGCACAAGTCTTCAGCCTGCTGCTGCTTTTTAAATAGCACCAGCAGTACAAGGCTGCTGCTGCTGCAAGGCACACCTGCAGCAGCTGAGCTCCGATCTGCCATCCTGAGGCTCAGCCTGCAAGGGGCCTTCCTGCCATCCCTCCCAGGGACACTCACCCCACAAAAGCCCACTGCAAACTCTTAATCCCTTCCTTGTTCTTGCTTTTTCCATTTGAATAAACCATACTGCCTGTTTCAGATGGCAACAAAGTTAGGCTCATACACCTTTCACTGCAGGAGTTACCTGAAACCTGTTAAGACAGTGATGCTTCACCTGTCAGACACAGGGCCAGCTTCTGGGCCCCTTCTGTTTTGCTGCAGGTATGGAGCAAAGCACTGCATAAACCTCACTTGGTGGTTTTCCGCATGTCTTTATGAGTCAGTTCCCCCATCTTGCTCCCCTGGACGTGCAGCTCTGTCTCCTGCTGGGCAGTTCCCTGCAGCACAGCAACTCTTCTTACCAACTCACTAAAGAAAATGCTCAGTAAGCTCAGAGCCGTGCATGACACTTGTAGGAGTGTCCTCTTTCCAACCCTTTCACAATTCACCCTATTTTTAGTCTATTCCTTTGGTATCTTTTGATTTTACCTTGACTTCCATCTTCAGTGATTTATTGCTAAAGGTATTTAATAATGGTGGAATTATCAGATGCTTTGTATCAGGGACCTGCCAAACAAAATGGAGCCTTTTTCCAAGAAAATAAAAAAAATCCACAACAAAAACCAACCAACCTACCAACAAAAAACAACAACAACAAAACCAACAAAACAACAACAAACAATAAACAAAAAAAACCCAACCCAACCCCAAACAGCCCTTTTACTAAGGGACTACATTACTTCTACCTGTGCCTGGAAGTCTTGTTCTTGAAAGCCAGGGAAATTGCATGGAAATGTGAAATGAAAGGAAGGAGGGAGCCGCCATGATTGGCCTAGGCCAGCACTGGGCTGAGGGCTCTGGTGGGCTCAGAGAATGGGCTGAGGGAAGAAGGCACAGAGTGCTGTGGGACAGGATGGTAACTCACAGGTCCCCTCCCTCTAAGCACTGCTCATGTTCACTGCACTGAACTTGTCAAGGGAAGGCCATTGCCATCCCTCTCAACCTCCTTACTATGCCCCTGACAAACAAGGTTGTGTTGTGAGGATGTCACGTCCCTTGCAGCTCCCCTGAGGCTGCAGATGATTTGGATGGGCAGATGGCTCCTGGAGTATGCTAATAAAGGATCAGGCTTGGAGAGGAATGATGTAACATGGTAATTACCAGCGATGGAGTTGATTAGCAGAACCTACAGAATTTTCTAGGTTACATAAATAATCTAAGGGACATGGGCTTGATAGCTGAAAACAAACGGGTGCTAATTGTGGCCTCTCCACCAGAGCAGAAAGCAGCAGCTCCTTGCTCACAGTCCTGCTGCCATCCCTGCTTGGAGGGTCCACAGATCTACAGGTGCATGAAGCTGAGCGCAACACCCTTGCTCTGCCAGCCAAGAGAAGCAGTAAGGGACTGACATTTGCCTGGTGAAAATGTCCCTAGCCCTGGCTGAAAGGGCAAAGTTTGTGCAGCATCAGCTCCAATCTGAAGTCGTGCAGGTCCAAATTCATCCCTGAAGTAACACCTTTAACTTTTGCCACCACTTGTTTTGACTCAGCTTGGCCAGAAAGCTGAAGAACAGTTGGATTTAATGTTCATCTGATTTCTCTGGTGTGTATCATCTGCTCAGGAGTGGCCATGAATGTTGCATGGTCCTGAAAGCGCTCTCTGGGGATAAAACAAACTGTTCTTGCTGGCAGGAGAAACACTGACTTAAGTAATCCTGTAGTCCTGGAAAAGAATCAGTTTCTTCTAGCACAGCACATTCAGAAGCAGGAAGTTAAGCACAAGGACAAGACAAGGGGCAAACCAGACACCAGGGGAACCTCAGTGCATCCTCAAGAAGGGAACAAAAGTGCTTTCTGTGCTAATTTGGGGTGCACAGGAATGAGGCACATATGAAGCACTACATACGTTGCCTAAGGCAGCTGTGCTTTCCCAGTTAGGATCAAGTCCTCAGCCAGAGATATTTCCTACTCTCTCCAAACCCATCTGTTAACCATTCCCCTTGACAAGGTAAGCTGCTGTCCCCAGTGATGAATTCTCCTAAGCCTGCCTGGCCTGCCCTGTTTGCAGGTGGCCTTTGAGGAAAGGAGCATCAGAGTAAACCAGCACAGCAAGGGGCTCCCATAAAAAATGACTGGGAGGTTAATGTTAGTGAAGTCTTAAAATGCTAGGAATAGTCAGCCTGATTCCTTGAGCCTCAGACATTTAGCAAGCACACCCTGAGAGGAGACCTCCCTCCTCTGCTCAGTGCAGCCTCCTGGTTGTTTTATTCTGTTACTTCAAATCCTCTGATGTTAAAGCCTTTGAGACAACTTCATTCAGCCCCTTTATCCTCTCAGTTGAGGTCTCCTCTCTATTTCCAGCTACCAATTCCTCTGTTGCCAACCTTGCCTTTTCCCTAGAATACACTTTAAAAGAGTATTCTTGAAATTTGCCACCACTTGACCCTCTCTGAGCAATGTTACATTTCCAATTATTCCGCCTTGAGTGATGCACTGAACTTGGTCCATTTCTTTTATCCAGAGCCCTACTGACTTTTTATTTTTACTTTTTCAAACATTCCCTGCCTCCCTCCTGAATTACTTCCAACCCCTGACCCCTGTTTGGCTATGATTAATTATTTTCTCTTCCTGTTTGATTCTTATTCTATAACGAGATATTCTTGTCTGATTTCCTGATGTCATCCACCCCCCCCTAACACTGTGAATAAACATCTTCTGACTGGTTTGTGGTAACACTGTACCCCATGAATCCCAAAACATCAGAGAGCATCCTACGCATCAGAGAATGCAGCCAGATACAAGATTTCCAGGAAAAATTGGGATGGCAGGTTGACACAGAGCTTTAATTGCACAGTGCCAGGTTTGAGTATTTCCACAGTCATCTTTGTGAATCACACAGTGGTATAGTTCAGTTCCTCCCAGCTCAGCCTTCTCTGCCCGGTCTTGCCAGAGGCAAATTGAACACTGAGAAAACAATGACAGCAGTGAAAGTGAAGGTGTGTAGGAAAGACAAAGGACATTTGGGTTTCATTTGGTAGAATGAATGGGAAGAGGCACTGTGGGTGAACAGGCAGAGGATGGGCAAATCTGGTGAGTCACCCACAGGGCAGCTGTGGGAGAAGGGCTGCTGGAGGAGGCACAGTCCCTGCACAGTAGGCAATGCATTGTGATTCTCATAGCTACTGGCTATATTTGGTCTTTAAAGGCCTGTGCATGCAGCAGGCTTCATCCCTAGAGAAGCTCGGCCGCAAGTCCTCTGTGCTATGCTACCAGCCTCCCCAGCAGCCCACCGGCTATTTCCACGCAACGTAGGGCTCCTCCTCTACAACCTTCCCTCGGCTGTGAACTCCAAGGGCCTGGATACAGCCACTACCATCGCAGCTGGCCTCCCTCCCCTGGACTCCTGACACTGCCCTTGCAGAGACGTGATCTCCTCTTCATCCTGTGGGTCCACACATCTGACACCTCCATTGCCTCCAGAAGGCACCCAGTGGATCTTACAACTCCTGCTGCTGCCCTCCTGCCTTGGTCAGCCTCTCATTCCCAGTCCAGCCCATCACATGACAGTAGCTACTCACCTCATAGCTTCAGCTGCTGGAGTCAGCTAGAAAATTCAGTGCCTGGAGTCACAGCTGTGCCATCTGCTTTAAGCCACGGCTCTGCCTCAAGATGAATACTTCATATGGTGACAGCAAGACTCCCTCAGAGCAAAGCGAGGTTTGCAAAAGGGAACAAGCTATTTTATAATAAACTTGAGATGCCTGAACCCAAGATGAGAAACACCTTTTAACCAGAGGCCAGACAGCTCTACAGTCTCTGCTCATCAAGTAGCCTATCAATGTTCCATCCCAGAGACCATCAGTCAAATAGCAGGCCATAGAAATCATCTTGCCATCTCTCCAGGAAAGTATTTTTTGCATGCGGGTCCTGCTGGTGCACCTAGCAAGCTTTATACAAGTACCTTCGTGTACTACAACCAGGCTTGCTTCACTAAGAAATAGCTTTTTCACTTTGCATTGGAAACACCTCCCTAGGGCCGCAGTATTAAAATTCCCTCCTGTTTCCTACCTGAATTAAAATTCAAAACTAGTTACTTACTAAAAATAAAGATAAAAGAGCCTCTTTGAGACCCACTGTGTCTGCTGCAGACAACTTTGCAGATCTTATTTGCTCTTTAGTGTTTACACACTTGTTACAAGCTGTCTCACAGCAGTGCAGATGGCAGTTTTCTTTGATTTATTGGTGATAGAAATCTGTTTATGAAAAACTGCTGAAGACTTCACATGCTGGGGCTCAGCCCTGGCATGGAAACACATGTAACACCATAATCATGCTTACACAGGCAGCAACGAAGGGTTATTGTAGTTGCACACTGCTCCACATTTACACAGACTTATTTTTTCTTAGACATCAATCAGTGTAATGAGGATCATGTACTCTACACCAGTGCCCTGAGAAATGCCAACATCAGACATGAAGCATTCATAGCAACACTCAGCATCGATGCAAGAAGCTCCATGCTTTTCAAGGCTTATGGGAATCCTCTCTGCACCTCCTGCGTGGCACAAGCCTGAAACCTCTCCCGTGATTCCCACACTTGACCTCAAAGCACCTGCACAAAGTCATGCCTTCTCACTGCAGTGATGGAATCATCCACTTATTCTTCATGGTTAACTACCCCTTTATGATTTATGGCATCAAACTGTCACAGATCCTACTGTGTGTTGGCATGCTACACTGAAGAGCCATGCAGTCCTGTGTTTGCTCCAGTAAAAGTAACTTGCTTCATTCGATCATCTCTCTATGGGGAGCTCAGCTTCTCTCCAGACTGGGCCACTAACACCTTCTGAAACAAAATGGATACTATGCTGCTTTTGTTTTGTTCTGTTTTGTTTTTTTTTTATAGAAACACTTTATTGCTGCAGTCAATAACCCTGTGTATCACACACAAATAACCAATTACAGTTTAAGAAACTAAAAATAATTCTGCAAGTGGTAATACTGAGAATAAGAACATACATGAAAGGATACAAAACTATACATTTAAGTTACTAGAAATTTACTAACTAAAAAATCCTGCAGAACTGTGAAGTGTCTTGTATAAACTATACAACACATGCCAGTGTAAAGTTGTTTAACGTTATACAATTACCTATCTACAAATGTTTTACCTAAATACAAGATCAGCTGCAATTTTTAAACAGTTATCTTCTATACAAAGACAAGTGCTTTAAGTACTTCATTGGAATATACAGACACCGCAATACCTCCAAACTAAAAAATAATCACAAATTAGAAGTCCTGTTTAGAAGTTTTCTTTGCATATCCAATACAATGCAGTGAAAACCAAGCCAGCAATAGCTGTGCTTTTGTATTTGCCCTGTTTTACCCCATATTTGCAAGAGACCCAACCCAGACTCACAGACCTCCTTTTCAGCAGTGACCACGACCTACACCAGAAAACTCTGTTAACATGCCCCAGCCCAGGGGAAATTTGGATCCAACTCTCACTTTGTAACATACTCAGCTAGCCAAACGCAGGGCAGAGGAACTTGCTCCTGATGTAGCACCAGCACATGCAGAGCGTGTCCAGCAGGTTGAAGGAGGTGATCCTCCCCCTCTACTCTGTCCTGGTAAGACCTCATCTGGAGTACTGCGTCCAGTTCTGGGCTCCCCAGTACAAAAAAAACAAGGATCTCTTGGAAAGAGTCCAGCGGAGGGCCACGAAGATGGTGAAGGGCCTGGAGCATCTCTCCTATGAGGAAAGGCTGAGTGATCTGGGTCTGTTCAGCCTTGAGAAAAGAAGACTGAGAGGGGACCTGATCCAGGTCTATAAATATCTAAGGTGTGGGGGGCAGAATGGCGAGGCCAGACTGTTTTCAGTGATGAGTGGAGACAGGACAACGGGAAACGGCTGGAAACTGCAGCATAGGAAGTTCTGCACCAGTGTGCGCAAGAACTTCTTTACAGTGAGGTGACGGAGCACTGGAACAGGCTGCCCAGGGAGGTGGTGGAGTCTCCTTCTCTGGAGATGTTCAAGACCTGCCTGGATGCCTACCTGTGCGACCTGCTGTAGGGAACCTGCTTTGGCAGGGGGGTTGGACTCGATGATCTCTGGAGGTCCCTTCCAACCCCTACAATTCTGTGATTCTGTGATTCTAGGTGCTCTGATCAGTGTAGGGAAGTGGCAGGAGGAATGGATGAGTTACCTCTGTACCAGTGTAACCTCTGTTGATTCCCTCCTGCTGAAGCAAAGCCAACCTCAATGACATTCAACCAGATGACTCTGTCTCCAGGTCTGGCCACCTCTTTAGTCAGAGTATTGGTTTATGGTCAAAAAAGTCCTGAGAATTCATAGGAATTTAACATCTCATGGTCTCTTAGAGTGGAGCAATCTTCTGCAGCACATGCTGTGCTTCTAACATAACGCATGGTTGGCAGACGCAGGGAGATTTCCTTGGCATAATCAGTGCTTTTCTGGACAGGATGTAAGTCCATAGCATGGGATTTTGGTCCGATCTCTAGAGCAAAAGCTCTGGCAATCTACAGAAAAGACTATGGTAGCTAAGTACTAAGAGTACTAAGTCCATACTCCCTCCTATTTTAATTCTTGTTCCAGAGAAGTCCCAGGTAACCTGAACTAACGCTGGCCAAAGAACAAGGACCAAAACAACTCACATTTTGTTTCTGTCATTTCAAAAGCTGCCAAAAGGAAGTTCTGGAATGCCTGATTTGATGGGAGTGGTGTTTTCCATTACCAACATCCAGGTGGGCAGGATGGAGCTCACCCAAGCTAGCACAAGTGCCTTGCAGCTGGAAGCTGAACACAAGTCAACAGAATCTCCTTAGAGAAGTAAGAAGGAAAAAGCACCATTCAACCTTCTTATACGATTTGATAGCACCATGTAGAAGCAGAGAACTGTAGCTCCAGAAGCTCCCTGTTAACATTAAGCTAGAATCAGCTCAAGTATGATCAGCTTAAATGACAAGTCCTGGCAGATGCATCTCTTCTGCAGCCCTTCCTAGTATGAGCAATCCTCACTAGTAAAGAGAATTTAAATACTAGGCATTATTTTCTTCTGGGTAAGAGCTACTGGAGAAAGGGGGTGTAGCACTGGCTAAAACAGTTTTATCTGCAATTATTTTTCCCCAGATGATTTTAATAGGGATGTTTTTTTCTTCCTATGATACACAGGGCCACAGCAAAAACATTCAGTGTCCTGAATACACTGAATGCTAATTGGTATATACTGCATAGAGCTTCCAAAATGCCAAATGAGATTTCACAATATTTCATCAAGAATCATTTATGACAGTGATTAAAACAGGACAAGTGTGTTACAATATGCCTTTGTGGCACTGTCAGAACACCAGTCAGACGCCACTGCCTCTCAGATGCAAACTGGAGCACAGACAGATTTCATACTAGGACTTGTCCCAGGACTTCCACTTCCCCTAAAGTCCACAGATTGGATGAGAATGCATACAGCTGATTCTGTGCATCTTGCAGACATGAAAGCCTTCTGCACTGGGCATTTCAGAAGAAAATTATGAAGGTATGTAAGACCTGATATTAACCTACCTGAGTTTATCCAGTAAATCTTTTTCACAGATCAAAAAAAGATAACAAGACTGAATGCTATCTGGGTTCTTAGAACGGGATCATTCATAGCAAAGGGTCTTAGTAATTGCACTTTAAAACATGATGGGCGTAGACAACAAGCTCTACACGCATATGATCATGAAGACTGCTGTCCAGTAAGGTGTGCAGGGCTCATCCTACATCACACAAGCATGGTATATCCTGACAACTAGCTCAGCATGCAAACCCATGCCAGTGCAGCTATGCTAGGACTGCCTGGAGGTCTGTTTTTCAAGAACAAGGTACTGTGTTGTTCATGAAGAACACAGCCAGGAAGCTTCAAGCATGAGACCATACAGAGGCATGCATGCACACACTCTACTTTCAACAACTCATCGTGTGTGTTCTCTTACCTTAGTCCCATCTCGGGCATTTTTCAAAAAGATTAACATAGAAATAAATAAATAGTATATTATCAGAAGAAAAAAAAAAAAGGAAAAATCAATGATCTCTCATTTTTTTGGGATATGTTAAAGCAACCACTTTTATTATGAAAAAGTCATGCCCAGTGATGTTGTACTTGAAAAGGATAACGCAAAACCTGAACTGGACCTAGGGATTTAATTCAGTATCTCAACAAGTAAGTAGAGGCTTTTACGTAGCAGAGAAGTCCAGGAGATTCCTATAGACATCATTCAGGAAATTATCATTGACTTTACAGAGATTTAGATTGGGCTCAGGTAGAGAAAGTTAGCATTCATACACAAAAGCCTCGTGTACTGAGTTTCAGTGGGGCTTTGTGGCCACTCCAGTCACACTGATGTGAGACTTTGGTTGAACAAGAGCTTGAAGCTGGACAGTGAAGCAAATTGGACAAGTGAATTGACAGCAGACATCCCAGGCTTTGGGCAAGTCTGTCTAAAGCTCTGCAAACAGATTTTAAAATTGTCCCTCTTTTCATTAAGGCTGACAGATTAAATAGCCAGTCCCAAACTCAAAGCAACAGACAAAGCTATTCTCTGACCATATAATGCATCACATCAGGACTAAAACAGGCAAGTATTTTTTTTAATTCATCCACTTAATGCAATACTTACTTCCTAAATTTTCATCTTAGCACCTCCTCTCACAATGTCAAATTCTTGGGTAATTCACACGTGACACAGTACTAAAGAAAGAAAACCAATTTCATCTGTATTGACTAAATATCTTTCTTCCACAACAGCTCACATTTTCACCAGTATACCAGCAAACCTTTTACCAATGGTCTGGAATGACAGTTACGTTAGGTATATATACGGAGATTTGTTGATGGTCTGACCTGTTAAAAACAAAGCAAAAAAGCAAAACCAATCCCTAAAATAGAGCATTGAAACCCTTATTCATTGAAAATGAACATTGTACACATCCACATGTCACGAGTGCAATATCCTTCAAAAAGAATTGCTCCTCAAAGGAAAGCCAAAGAGGGAGATTTTTAGTGTTATGTTTAGTAGGATAATGGGGGCATGTGTTGGAAATCATGCATTGGAATTTATTTTTATTTTTTAAATAAGGCAAGAGGCTTACGTTCTAGTAGAATGGATGGGTTGAAGAACGAAGAAATGTTCTGCAAATGACACATTCTTTCAAGTTTCATTCTCATTGGACATACACATCATAAAATAAAGATTTTTAAAAGTGCTATATGCCTTGTGAGTCTCATCACAATGTGTAAAGCATAATGTTACACCTGCTGCCTAAGACAAAATGTTAGTGGCAGTGTTAGCGGTAGATTAGACTCTAGCTCTCTCATTTCCTGCGGCATCTGGGACAACCTCCTTCATTATGCTTAAGAAAAACAAACAAACAAACAAAAAAAACCCAACCAAACCATACTCTACATGCCTTCCACAATCATTTAGAGTCATATTCTAAAGTAACAGACTCCATATGCAGTTGATGACAGTCCACCAGTGGCTTGCTTGATACCACAACCGAGGCTCATTCTACCCAGCTACCTGTGGCTCTTTGATCAGTCAGCATGTGAGACAATGTTGAGAGGTACACAACCATGATAACATTAATAGATATGCTGAAGGGATTTTAAAAAATTCCAACAAAACACAAATGTAAAAAAAGTCATCCGCCAGCCCTCAGCTGTTAGCCGATTTTAAAAAGGTAGAGCAGCTTGCAGTAAACAACGATATTTTAAATCTTCAAGGACATACAGAATTACTCCTCCCACCCAGTAATCAGACGTGAAGGATTTCTGCAGCACAGTCTTCTGGCTCTGTGTAATGTGAAGAGTTTGTATCTGAATGGTGAACCCCAAGCATTTCTTTACTTTCAAAGTTTGGCTCCATTAGTGCAGGTTTTTCAAAAATGTTCTTTTTACTAGTTTCTGGACAGTTTTGTACATATATTACTCGGTTATAAGCTTTAAGTCTCTTCCACAGCTGTACGTACACTTTGCATTGTACATACATGAACAGAAGTCCTCCAGTGAAACCAATAGCCACAACAACCAGCTTAGTCCAAAATGGCCATTCTAGAATCCCTGGAAGAAAGGGAAGAAAAAAAAAAAAAAAGGAATAGAGAAAACATCAGGTCAATACTGAATCTCTCAAGGACACACCTTAAGAGTTCTTACTTTGCTGTTTTTCTTGTTCTCTCTTTTTTTCTTCCTTCAGGTTTAACACACGTAGACTTCTAAGCTTGTTGAGTTCACATAACATATCACTCCTCAAAGAGAAAAAACCCACAAAAACACTCGATCCTTTATGACTAAGCAGTTGTGCAGCACAACCAAGGCAACAGCCAGGTATAAACTTTAGGTCCTTTTATACCTATTTTTAAAAGAAAATTTAATCAGATTATGAATGGGCTTCTATAGCACACTTTCCTCTTGAAAGTAAGATATTCAGAGATGTGTCCCACTCCGTGATCACACAATACACACAGCCACAGTCTTTGAAGGGAACCATTGTCACCATTCAGCTTGAGACATTCTTGACACAAAACTGACAATTTGATTACCTGCATAAGACCCAGTAGATCATAGTTGAACTACAGCATCTCTTCTGATGCAAAATGACAAGTGTTGGGGATGCTGAAGCATTCTGGCAAGCTCACTTGACATAATAAAAATGACCACCAGTACTTTTCCTGAATATGCCCAGTTTGAACTCCTAGCCATTGGATCTCGTTACATCCCTATAACATACTTTTAAATGAGAAATGACTGATTTTATACATCTTCTGCTTATACACATCCTGTATCCATCCAGTTTCTCTCCTTCTGAAAGACAAGCATCCCAAGATGGATATGAGATCATGCTGAACTTCTCACTTTCAGGTTTCTCAGAGAATTAGCAGTGTAACAAAATCATAGCTAAGTCTTCAAAGTTTTTACAAGATACAGGCCACTGTTCTTTTGGAAATGCACAGCAGTGTAGGACGAATTAAAATATTTTAGTCTCCAGACCCAAATTGCACTGCAACATGACTACTGATGAAATCCCACTAGTGATGAATACCTGGACCTCTGATTCACAGGGGAGCTATCTGATGCCATCTGGAGGCAGCAATAGCCTACGCCTTGCTGTGCAGACATGAATGAATAAACACATGCACGCTGCAGCTCGTCAGAGCATCCCCCAGATTTGGAATCCAAATGAAGGAAGCAAAGAAAGCAGAGTAACAAGTACTATGTAGCCATACTATACCTAGTAATGTTCACTGAATGTATTGAATAAAGTAACGAGGATACGATAAATCTTTGAGAGAAAGTGCTTTTCTTTATCATATGGAAACCTTGCACTGAAAGAACAATTTCCACCATACGTGGAAAAGATGGTGTTGGATGGAACAGAAACTACAAACTTTCATTCAAAGCAGCTTCCTGACTGAAACTATGAACAATCACACCACAGCTAAACTAAACAAATGACAGCAAAGCTGTCTGACGTGTGACTCTGCTCTACAGAGACTGTAAGAGCTCTGTGGAATTGCACACTTATAGATGCTCATTTCCCAACTGCATTTGAGGTTGGCATTCAACCTCTGTGAGCAAGGACGGTTTGCCTTAAAACCCAGCCTTGGTGCACAGCCTGTTACTCCAATCCCCACCTTCTGGGGGAGCTCAGCTGCCTGAAAAAACAGTTCTGCAAGAGCTGCAAGTTCACAGCCCGGCACTCCAAAGTCAACCCATTTCAATTTAGTAAGCTCACAGCTGGCACACTGAAGGAAATCTGCTACTCTGGAAGTTAAGACATCCGTGTAGTGATGAATTTCTGAATTTCTCTGCTCCCCACACAACCACTCTAATTTCTTCAGTCAAATGTGTCTCCCGCAGAAAAGTTGTGCTAATATGTCTCGAAGATGGCTGAATAGAAAAAATAAGCCTGTTAGTGTAGCTCAGAGGTTTGGACTTTGGTTCCTGTTCCTTCTTCCCTTTTTTAAAATTGTTCTCTTTCTACTCAGCTAAAGGTAGTCATAGTAGCAAACAGATGCTTACATGCTTGTCATCTCAGTAAGTGTTCCAGCTTAGAACTAAATTAGCAAAGCCAGTGCAATTTTGTGTTTAGTTACAGTGGTTTTCTCTTGTATCTGTGCATTTCACAAGTGTAAAATTGACACGTAATAGACTTAAAAGAATCTACAGACAAATTTACACCAATTTAACTAAATCACTTTAGAACTGTTCTTTTACATCAACTCAATCTCTGCCTAAAGCTGACTGATCTAAGAAAAAGCATTACCTGCATTCTCAGGCTTTGCATCCTCTCTGCATTCAGGATAAAGAATAATTCCAAATGAGTAAGTAGGAAGATAACCAAGTAACATACCAGTAGTCTGTCCCTGTTTAATCTCTTCAGCAGTCCTGTCTATGAGGACATACAGAGACCACACAACGCAGGTGATGGCAATGATATGGAATGTTACAGAGCACATGATCTTCCTCCTCTCGCTGGCTGTCATCTGCAGCTTCTCCCACTGGCAAGAAACCCAGAAGCAGAACAAGAGATTAAGTGTTTATCACAGTTACCAGAAAGTATAAAGAGAAAACACTGATCAAAACCAAAAGCAGGCAAAGGACCAGTTTCCCCCTAAGTTTTGTAAGTCACATTATTCTTGCTCTGACCACAGTGCGTGCAGCTGGCAGCTTGCTCTGCCATAAAGGGTGCAATCACTCCTGGTGCAGGAGGGGATAACAGCACTCATCTCCATCCAGAGCTGCAGCACTGAGTTATCCCACAAAGAACCGAGCACAGCTCAAGCAAGTCTGTTCTTTAGTGTATTTGCAAAGCAATGAACAGCAAGCACCCACAGTCAGAAATGAGCATCATGAAGGGCAAAAGGGTGTCATTGCTCAGGCAGCCATTCAGTAACACGCTGCAGCAGGAGTGGTGCACAATCCAATCACCCAGTATGTGTATGGCATCTCAATGTGGGCCATTAGACTATCCCAGTGTGCAGTCAAAGCTGTTTAGCACTCAGCTCAAGGCTGTTTAGTTCTCACTTCCTATCTCTGGAGGCTTTATTCAATCTTCACATATATTTAACACTACTTAGAGCAGCAACATGGATTTTATTTTCAGTGTTTCAAGTACACTTAAATATGTGCCCTAAGAGTATACAGCAGAACGGGGATGACAGCTTTTACAATTTAAAGGATGCAGCAAATTGAACCCCCCGACCTGCGCCTATCATAATGTTTATACAGTCCCAGGAGAAACCACAACATCAGGTCACTGTCGTTTAGAAAGGACACAAAGAAAGAAGGTAGTTACTACAGGTGCTTCAAGTATACAGGGAATTTTTCAGAATCAGCTTTTCTTTACTTTTCTACCAATGGCGCCAGGAAATTGTTGGGCTTTTTTTCTTTTTCTTTTTGTCTCCAAAGCAATTGATGTGTATGAAGAAAACTTTTGCAGGTGTGTTGCACATCCCTCATCATATTTGCATGGGACAGTGTTAAGACAAGCTTTCCTCGTATTTCCACAAACTGCATACAGGGGCACATCAGCTTCTCATACATACCTATGTGCTCTAGAGAGGTGTATTTGGTGTCTCCTAGAATAACTTGCAGAAAAAATTGACTTTGAAAAGTGCAGAAAAGTGTGGAAGATAATGAGGATGACCTTAATGAGATCACTCATCAGGTTGAATTACTGTTACCACTGCTGCAAATACAAGAATGGTTGAACCATAAAACAGGGATTCTGTGAAATATTCTCTGTCTTGCCAACAAGCAAGTAAGTCACAGCCACATTTCTGTATCAGTGGTCATTCAAATCTCATCATGGCAGAAGAACAGAAGATTTCCAGCAGTGATATACCAGACACATATCATGCTAGAAAACTACACACTTTCAATTATTGTTACAAAAAGACTGGACAAAAACTTTTGCTTTGGACAATATGTTTTAAATAGGAAATGGATTTTGCATCTAAACAATGGTGTTCATTATCTACAGAAAATACAATTTGATTCATTTATTCTGTCAAAGTGTAAGCATGTGTGAATATTCTTACAGGGCCACAAGGACTTGCATTTTGACTGTATTCCTCTTTTTTTTTTGCAGGTAGAGATCTTCCACTGGACTCTTACTTCTCTTATTATATGCTGGCATCACAGCTGCCAAACCATCCCATACCACTTCATCTTTCCAAAGACAGGAGTGCACAGCAGAGGAGCTATTCTGCTAGTTTGATTCTGCCCTAGCCCAGAGAGGAAACAAGAGAGGACCCAGAGGTCCATGCTGCATTATTCTTATGACACAGCAAGCAACATTTCACAATTTAATAAGCCAGCATTTCTATCAAATCTACAGAACTTTTAGGTTTTATTTCTTTGTTTTGTTTTCATTTGAATTATAAAATGGAGACTCCCTCTCTTGTCTCCCCTCACTTCCACTTGTACTGTGATGCAGTTTGCTCCTCACTCTCTTCCCCTTATAACTTAACGTTTGAACATAAGACAGACCAATATGCAGTGATGCAATACAGCCTTAAGACTTTGAGGATGCTAAATTTCATTTCTGCCCTGCAGAGAAGCACAAGCCCTATTATTTGTTCCATCCTGTCCGTAATCACCAGTTCCAGACAGTTTTGTCCTGACTGACAGGATATGATAAAGGATGAGCTGAAGACACAGCTTGTCTTCTGGCTGCAGCTGAACCTCTAAAGGATCCTTCAGACATATTTGAAAGGTAAATTCTTTCTTATCCTTCTACTTATGGCTCAGCCCCCACCTCCTGGCATCTGGTCTCTCTCCAATGGATGACCTGTTCAGATATAACTACTGATGCCGAATGACTCATTTCTGAAGGTGCCCAACAGCTTTTTCTCACCGTGTACCAATATGCAGGAAATGCTTCCCGCCCACTCCAGGCAGGGTGAGCACGGAAAAATCAGCAGCTAACCATCACCTACAGCAAGTCTTTTTTATTTGGGCTCCTCCAATTTCTTTCACATCCTACAGATGGGCTGTGCAGTTCTGTCTGCGTGATAGCAGAGCCTGTGGCAGCCATAACTGCAGCTCCGAGCTACTATGCCCTGTGCTAAGAGGCTACCAAAGAAAAAGCTACAGCTTAGATGGCAGCACTTCTATGCTGTCATAAGCAGAGGTTGTGCTGTCAACATTACATCCTCTGCTATATACTTCGTGGACCATAGATCTCCATTAAGAAAAAATAAATAAAACCAATAAAGAGTTTGAAATCTGCTCTGTTTTCTATTAGGATTCACTTTTAGAAGTCAGACAAGTTCTCACAGCAGCTTTCAGATGGCTGCAGTCTGGACTTCCCATCCCTTGTCATTTAGAATAATCAATAATTGAATGTTTCTCAGTTATTATAGTTCTAGACTGAAATTATTGCTGTTAACATCTTCCACAGCAAGATTTGTCTGTGGTAAGAACACCAGTGACTTTCACCTCAGAATCCTGATGGTAAGGACCAACTGAATTTGAACGCCTAGCAAATGTGGGAGGACAAAATTGGTCTTACAAGACACAAAGATATCTAAGTTCTCAATCACCAGACTTGGGATAGGTAATTTGTTTATAAAACAAAACAGGTCATAGCAGCCCAAAGTACTAAAACCTGATCGTACATAATCTAAGAAAAGGTAAAAGTGAAAACATTTATCAGTGAACATCCTTCTACTTACACTAAAATAGGTATGCTCCTTAAAAAAAAAAAAAAAAAAAAAAAAAAAGCTAAAATTTCAATCAATTTACATTTACATTCAGAACATATGATTTAAAGTAACTTTAAACTGAGATCTTCATATTTTCAAGAGACTTTAAAAGCCATGTGGATCTCAGCACAGCAAAACAAAGCAGACAGCAGTAATACAAAACACAATATTTCCAGAGAAACAGCATGGATAACTGGAAAGCAAATGCCTTTGTGCACCAGCTCTGAAAACCAACTGTGAAAAAATCAGGCTGCTGCGTGCACATATGCATGAGCGTGAGTGTACATGAGTGCATTTACAGAGAGCACTGCTGGGCTGTACTAAATCTATATTTTAAATGTAGGACAATGTAAAGGGAGGAAGGACTGAGACTCATTTCTCACTTGGGCAGTTGATGAATTCTTGAAGCAGAATTATCTTGACAATGGTCAGAGCAGGGAAATACCACTTCTCAGAGCTGGACTCCACTGATGCTAAATTCATGAAGCTGAGTGTTAGACAACTGAAATTGTTCAGCACCTATACAAAACTGACCAGAATTACTAAGGAGCCACCAAATTGGTTCTGTGGGATTGTGGGCCATGACAGCCTCTTTTCTGCACAGATGTACGTTTAACAAAGCCTACCTTTCGCAAAGGCTTCAGCTTTGTCTCCATGATGAACTCATACTTGCAGAGTTCGCAGCATCGTGTATCTGAGCTCTTGATCCACTGCTGCAAGCAGGCTTGGTGCACAAAATGAAGACTTCCCGTGCAGTGACAGGGGGTAATCAAAGGGCTCTCATCATCTCCTTCACAGTGACATATCCTGAATCAGAAGCAAAGCTGCTCATTAGAAGAAGAGGAAGCAGAAAGCATGTGGAAGAAGAGGCATGTAATATCTGTGATCACACATGGTTATCTGTTGATGATCCTAAGACACACGCATCAAAGGAATGTATTCTATAAAGGAGCTAAAACTAAAGAACTGCCTTGCTACACAAACGCATACACATACACAAAATATCTGAGCACAGACACTGCTAACTAGACAGTTGCCTTCTAACAGATGAGGTGGACACACAGAGCCCGACAGAAATTTAGTACCCAAAAGAAAAAATAAAAAGTGTGAGAAATGACAATCCTTCATCTACTAGAACAATAGCACTTAACTGAAAACAGCATCTAAACAGATCCGACCGCACTTCCCAAGACCAAGTATGCACAGAGAGGTACTCATGAATTACAATGTAATGCAGAAGATGAAACAAAATTCCCAAAGGAACTGTGAACCAGCCCAACCCAGTATCACAGAGAGTTAATTTGGTCCAAATTTTGCACAAGGGAAATGATTATTTCCAGTGCCAAATGCTAAGAGACAGAACCACACTGCAAAGATACAGCATCCATTTTCCCCAAATACACCTACTTTAAAAGGACTAATGGCTTTGCTCTTCCAATTCCTTTTTTTTTTTTTTTTTTGCAAAAGTTGCTAAGGAAGCACCAGCTCTGCAAAATTCCCAGCTTCCCTCACCGTCTAACTCCAAATAGCAAGGACACCTGACACAGTGCTACTACCAGGTGCTGGCATTTGATTTCCAGCTTCAATTTACGCACAGCACTTGGGCTGCATCAGACAACACTAAGTCCTTCTAACCATGTGGAAGAGGTCAGGAACTGAAAGGGGGATGGTAAGGAGCTCAGGGAATGAATATAAGTTACTAAGCATATGTGAAGCACATCCTGGCATGCTGCCATCCCTGTCTGTTACTGAAATCTCTCACTGATGTGTAGCATCTTGCCTCTTGTGACCTTGCTGATAGCTGGCAAGTGGGACTGAACTAATGGGTGGATTAAAAGAGCATCTTGTTGATGACAAGCAAGTAACAAACTAGAATTTGCTGGTAATGGGGTACTGAGGAAATAAAAAATTACTGGCAGGTATTAACAAAGTCAGCTTCAGAAAGCAGTGTCAAAGAGGAGAAAGATTAAGATAGGAAAATGCTTGGTAGAAGGATGTGACAGTTACTCCTATGCTTGGCATCTCCTGCTCCCCAGACTTATTCAGAAGCTGCGATGGGGCAGGCCTGCAGACAATTTACCACAAAACAGTCCAGAGCTGTGTGTTCCTTTCACCTACGTAAATAGCTAATCCTCTGTATCTGGAACAAGGAGATCCCATCTTTTTTGGACCTCACACTACTCACTAATTATCACTAATAACCAGTGCTTAGTTCTCTCTTTCATCTTAACCATTTAGAAATGGGGAGGTAAAGGTTAAGAAATAACCTTAGGCTATATTGACCAGAACTCAAAACCAACGTTCTGTTGCCTATGCTCTGACAAACTCAGCAGTGGCTGTCTGGAAAACACATTGCTTGTTAAAAGCTAAGAAATTTTCAGCTTGGTTTTTACTATGTGTAACTGATTCTCTCATAATATTCCCAGTTTGGGCAAGGATGAAAGAAAAATGCGATCTCAGAACCCCAAATCTGAAACGAATTGCAGAAGAATTTATTTGACTCCCAAGGATATGCTTTTGCTTAGTAGACTTGTTAAGTGCGTCAGAGGGGTGCAGGAAAGCAGAGAGAAGGTTGCATGCTTCACATTGCACATATTACAGCAAGGTGACAGGGTGGAAAAAAAAAAAGACAAACAGCACAAAGGCAGGGAAAGCAGAATGGTCACCACTGCACACAGGAAGGCTCGAAGGGGAGGTTCTCCGACGCACCAACCTGCAGGTATCCCCCGATGCAGACACCGGGGAGAGAGGGGGGAATTTTTCTGAGAGGGGAGAAGGGCAGTCAAGGTCACTGTCCTTCTCAACCGAACAGAGTGGTGCCCGCTGCTCTTTTGTTCTCAGTTTCATTGAGGTGCTGTCCTCAAAGACGTCATCATCTCCCATGTCCTCAGAGCAGAAGTCTGTGCTTTCCACCAGCATGCTGGAGGATTTCTCAGCTTGGAAGTGACTGGAATAGCTTTCCAGTTCGTGGAACTTATGCAGACTGCTGGTGCTGGAGGTGTGGGAGAAGGAAAAAAGGTAACGCAACAGTTTTTTGCTTCTTGAGGTGTCATGGTCCACTCTGTCCTCCAGCAAGGGGATATGTACAGCGCTGCGGTTTTCTGCTCCTCCTGATGCACTCGAATAGTTGGAAAGGGAAGGGATGTAGGAGTGTTTAGAATTGCTAAAAGAAAGAGGCCTGAGATTCAGCGATTTCCTCTCTTTAAGATGAAATTTGTTAATCCTCAAACACTGCTCTTGAGTCGGGGTCAATTTGCCTTCCGAGCATGTTCGCTCCACGTAGTCAAAGCACTCACCGGTGCTCTGTGCCTTCTGGTCCACGTCATTGAGGGACTTGGAGAATTTCAGAGTGCGGGTGGGCTTTACATTCTTAGCAGCCCTGAGCGCCTGGCCCCGATCCTGCCCATGGGAGTTTCTCTTTGCTGCATGTAACGTGTCCTGACAGATTACTGTCACAGTGACCCCTTGTGTCAGAGAACTCTGGCAGTGAGGATTTTTCAAGACAACAGCAGACTGCACTGGACTGTGATGACAACATTCAGAAAACACTGCACTGGAACTGCATGCAGAACAGTGGAATAAAAAGCACAGAAAGTAAAAAAAAACAATTACATAAGAGAACACATATAATTAAAAGTGAAGAAATGAGAATTACAGCTAGTGTGGGAATGGCAAACATAGCGGGCCAGTCAGTGGGATTCAATGAAGCAGTGTTAGATAGCAGTCGAGTCAAACAAAAGGAATGCTTCAGACCAGAACCCCATGTTGCTTACTTCCCCATCCACATGCTTTTTCAGTTTTGGTTTTTCTTAAATGAAGCTTGCACAAGCCTCACTGTAGCTATGCAAACAGGACAATTTACCTGCAGATGTCCTGGTTGGATGGCGTAACAGAAGTCCGAGAGAAGCCATGGGGAGCTGTGATAGAGGTTGGACTTCCAGCCTGCAGTGACATAAAAATAAAGGGGAAAAAAAAACAGACACAAAAAAAAAAAGCAAGTCAGAAGTCGGAAAAATTCTGTAGGCACTGCAGTCACCTTCAGGGTTGAACACAGCATATGGAGTCAGATAACACTCTACATCAGATATTCAAGGGCTGGTTGCAAGAAAGTGAGGTGTCATTGTCAAGCACTAAGAAGGAAGGTTGTCACAGCCTCATCCTTGGAAAAACAGAGATCGGAACAGAAACATTTTTCCCCAAGGTCAGATGCAGCCATCTCTGGAGCGGAACCTGCCAGCTGTCAGACATTGCACGGAACAACCGCTCAGGAAATGAGCAATGCTACAGTAATTAGCATAATTAGATGGAGGTGTGTATGCAGACTAGTTGTAATTTAGCTACCACCTAATAGCTAATCCTTCCACTTACAACAATGACAAGAGATTAGGAGATTTTTCTTTTTTCTTTTTTCTTTTTTCCACAAGACACAGAGACTATTTATAGAGGAGGTAGTTTCAGCACTGGCATATACACATAAGCACCATCTGCCAAACCAGACCCTTCCCTGAAGTACTCATTGTATTTCACGAGGCCTTTCACCCCTTCCTACCTCAACAGGGCCTTCCACCTCCTTGCAGGAAAGCTATAATGGTAGCCACATTCATGTGACCACAGTGCGAAATCGAATAGGTGTAGAATTCAGAATTCAGCTGAAATCAAAAAAGCTAAGCTCTTTGGCTTATGCAGCACTTAAGAAACAAGCTTCTAAAGTCAATATGGTAATAACCATCTTGACAGCCTACTATTACAGGCCTTTTTGCTGCTGTATGTTGTGAGCGTCAAACTGAAACTTCAGAACACTTCCCAAAGGTTTTAGTGAGGAGAGATATGTTCATAACCCCTTAATGGGCAGAGAATCTCTAAACCCATTTCTTCCACACTCTACAGCTGCTGGATATGCCATGCAGCTCACTTACGCCCGCAAAACATTGCTCCCATTTCCCAGTTCAAACACAGGTTTACGGTTCTTCTGATCAGTTGAGTAAAGCTTGCAAACCATGAAGGTGCTCCAACAGCAGTGGAGAGCAACGTTCCTGGTATTGCATCAGGATGTCTCAGGTGTGTGAGCATGAAAAACCAGGTATCCACTTACAACTGGGCCAACAGGGGCCAAAGGTGAGGCTCAAACACACACCTTTCAACCTGCAGCAAGGCACTGTGGCTTTCCCATCCCAGCCAGCTAGGTTTATATACAGAACAAAAAAACAGGATAACCATGCTCCAAAAAGCAAACTGAACAATGTCACGACTGACAAAACAAATTAAACATGTAAAGATAGGTTTGGGCTTTATCCTGGAAAGCATCATCCTTACGTTTTACACCACTTGGGCATGCTAATGGTATAGGACTGATCATACAGTGAGGTGAATTCAGCTATTATTTGGAATTCTTCTTCTTGCTGTTTAACCTATTCTAAAAGCAGGCACATCTCTGACTAAAACCCATCTCTTAAAAAGAGTGCAGTAATTACTTTTGTAAAAAGAAAGACAGGTTAGTGAAAGAGCTGACACTATAATCTGCTGCTGTAATTATGCAAATGAAAATTAATGTGACTTAAGTAATGAATTATTTAAAAAGACATATTTAGCAATCTGCTAAAAACAAAATATTGAACCAGTAAAAAAACCACATTATATTCTGCCATGGAAACAGAGCAATATATTATTGGAACTGCAGTCACAAATCAGTTAATACATCTGTCTCAGGTTTTCTGTTACAAGCAAATCACAGAAGGTATTCTGCTTATAAAGAATCAACTTTCTTTACTGTTTCATTTCAGAAATGAAGCGTTCCAAAAAAGACAGACGTGCATACAGTGTGACAGTCTAATAGCAGATGACTAGATTGAATGAACCAAAATTTCCTTCTGAACCCACATTACTGGTTTCTTGATCCAACTGCCTGGCACCAAGACAGCATGTCAAAGTCTCATTGCTTGGAACATCAAAAAGCTGGGACAAGGAAGAAACAGTGAAATTGCATTTGTATTTCAAAATCACTGCGTCTAGATGCCAGCACTGCTCAGGCAGCTTGACAGAAGTAAAAAAAATAATTACAAAACCATCTGAAGCAACTTTCCTTTTCCTCCCACCTTCCTTTTTCATGTATATAAGAGGCCTTTTACGCCATCTTTAGACTAAATGTAAATGCAACCAAAAAATGAAAACCAGTTAACAAACATGAAAAGGCAGCACAAAGTAGAAGAACAAAACGTTGGAGGAAGCTATGCCCCATCCTCAGCTGAAGCTGATGTCAGTAGAGGCTACCACTAATGGCCATGGTTCAACTCACCTCTTCTCATACTCTGTGCTCCTCCCATGCTTTTCCTTGTGAAACTATTTACACAGTTGCGCTGCACATCAAATAGGATACTGAGGTGAGACAGAACAAAGCACTTATTTTCTTGCACTTGTTTAATGTCAGTCCTTTCCCTAGCTGCATTTGCCAGAGGACATTAGCTGGTTACAGCAATGAGCCTCTAATGGTGAGACACAACTTGTCAACAAGAGAAGAATGCAGTAAAATGCAAGCTGTTGCCCAGAATCCAACATGCAAAAAAAGCCACAAAAAGAAGAAAGGAAGAAATACTGGCAGCCTAGGGCCACATGACATAGAGGTGATGTGATGGTTGAATGTAGCAGAGAGCTTGCTTGGAGTCCTGACTGTTCTCCCATGCGAGGCTTAGCTCCAAAGAGGCCAGGAAAATGAGCAAAGCCTTTACCACCATCCTTACTGATCCAGTAGCAGCCTCACAAGTAGTAGCACCTTTGGGTAAGCTTCTTATGATGTTGACAGCAGTCATAGGTTTTAAAGCAGTCCTTATCATAGGGTTCTGCTATGTTTGTTAACTGACAGACATCCTAAGCTTGAATTTAACCCTTCTAGCCTCAGAATCACTCACTAAATCTCTGTGGATATTCATGCCCTTCACAATGGATAACTATTACCTCTAACATGAAGTCCTAGGAGCTACATGCTGGTGAATTACTCTGTACAGCCAGACTGGTGGCCTAAAATAGCTTGGAACTAAAGGTCAATAGTTAGTTAATTGTTTCCACTGACATTCCCATCTAACGCAATTCAGTGAGGTCACAGTGTGGCTCTCTCCCCTCTGGTTCTGGGATAATCACAGGAAGCCCACAACTCTACAGTGCTGCCATCAAGATACGTACATGAACATGTGTTTATGCTGGCATAGCTGGTTGTTCTCATTTTTGCCCCACTCTGCAAACTGTGATCCCTTGGTAAAAGAACTTGGTCTCTTCCAATGGTCTACTGCTGACTACCTGCAGCACACCTGAAAACAAAAATACCCACCCTGCCTCAAAAAATTATATCATCTTTGAAGTAAGTCACAGTGAACAAGTCATCGGCTTGAGCCTATTCCAAAATAACCTGCTCATCTGAGATGGTGCTTCTGGGTATATCTTCTGTAGTCTCAGTCTCAGCTGTGCTTCAGTACAAGTAATTACACATCTTAAAGAACGGGGCATGAGACATTTTAACAACCTTATTACACTTCCTCCACTGATGGGAAGTCCGGAAGAAGTAAAGAAAGTTTTTCCTCAACAAAGTTTTATCCTCAACAGAACCGCAAACCTTACCCTTTTTAGATGCCACATAAGTAGCACCAACACTGTGGCCCTAATATCCAGGCTACAAAAACATCTCTAGAACTCTCAGCTAGGGACCTGGTGACTAACATACTTCCCACTATACACATATTATAATAGAGTACACCTCTCCTTTGCCATACAACTGACATTAAGGCAGACAAAGAGTTACAGATAGCAGCATAATTTTAAGCCTTTTATTGGGAGGAAGTGCAGCACAAGGAGCTTCAAAGAACTACAAAAGTAACAATAGTGCATTTAAACACAATACAACCGACATTTCAACATGGAATTCTGATTACTGGTTTGCCTTAATTTTAAACAGTGATGAACTCCTTTCAAAACTACTCACTTTTGCTGAACTTAAAATAAAATAAAAGAAAGCTTAAGAAGGTAGTTGCATGTACTGTCAAACAGACCGAGGGTACAACATGTGCCGTGTACCAACAGACTATGGCAGCAGTTTGTCTGACTCCTTCCTGTAAGAACAGCAGAAGTACAGTGACCTCCTTTGCTGAGCCAACTCTAACTAGAAGCAGACCCTCAGGGGGCTTATGGAGACACAGGTAATCATTGCAGGTGTTGGCTTAGGGGAGACATCTACCACCACTTCTTTGGAGTCATCTGTCTTCCAAGAACAGTCAGGTACCTAGCCCACCCCAATGACCCAGAGGCTGCGATGCTTTTCAGCATGCAGTGCTGAGGTCTGTGATGGGCCGCTGGGAGTTCTGTTTGAATCCAATTCATCTCTGCTGGCATTAACGCATCACAACGATGAATGTGGTAGAACCACAGAGGAAAGACAGAGGGATGGTTTTCACACTGTATTTCAGAAGAACTCATTACCAAAAAGCTGTTTCATCTGTCTTGCACAGACGCCACTTAAACATGTATTAAAAAGGCAGGGCTGCCGCTAGACGTGGACATGACCAACACTTATCTTGCGTAGTGCATCTCCAGAGGCAATGAAATCCTCATGCTCTGCTACACCCTTAGTTTACACCATGGAAACCAGGAACAATCATCCCACATCTGTTCCCTGGCAGGATCTAGGAACAGTCAGTAAAGTCAGGAGAGAAAACAGAAGTGGGGACTTGGTGAAAAAGAAGCACTAAGTGCAACTGTAGGGCACTCCATAGCTAACTGGGCAATTCTTCAGGTACTTAAACAACTATTAAGAGTCACAGGGAATGTGACTATTATTCTTCAAGAAAGAGACATCATATTGCATGCCACACAACTGCTGGATGTGGGCCACTTCTACACCATTCTCCTGCTCCAGCCGTCCACCTTCACAAGGATGCAATGCATTTGTATTTTTATGTTTC